ACTTCTTAAATTTATTTCTCTTTTAAGCTGTTGTGAGGATCATGTTGCTGTTGTGTAGTACTATGTACATGAGATATTAGCAAGATATCTTTTTCTTGATAAAGTTGGAATCCCATTTAGAATTATATGCTGTCTGAAACAACAAAAAGATTATTTTGCCTGAGTGCTAAAAAAAAATATCTAGCTATAGGTGGAAATATTCCTACTGTTTCTACTGCTTTTACTTTGAATATACAATATGGTTTATTTCTATATTGAGCATTAGAATAAAGAGAGATATTCCAGGGAGAGAAAGGAACTTTTTTAATAGTTTGGGAGCAGATGGGAACAGTCCATTTCACCATTGACTGAAAATATGTGATGTTCACCATATGACATGGAAAGGAACTATTGATTAATTGGTAATATTTAATTATTTCATGATAAATGGAGGCAAAGAACCTTCTAGCAGGCATATAGATGATTAATTTTTGAAAAATTGAACAATCAGTATTCTCTTAATTCAATCGCAACCCCAATATCTACTTAGTTCTTAAGTGGGGGTAAAATAAACAGAACGGGATAGAAGGGTATGTGTTCTCATGAATCAGATAGACAGATTTTTGCAGATCTTGCACTTAACAGTTGACGGGGCAATATTAAAATTTAATATTAAAAATATTAAAGTTCTCATGCTAGGATTTTCCAGGAGTTATTTAACTTTTTTTTAATGAATTATATCTTGGCTTTGTTAAATTTAAATATTCTTTCCTATTTCAGAATGTCAGGAAATTACATCAATCTGCTTCAGCATCTATGAGGGACACATACAAAAAATTTGGGCCAAAAGTTGTCTACTCATAATAATTGGAAAGGGAGGCTAAGTCCACCAGCCTAATTTAGTTTGGTAGAAGGACATTCAGAAATAACATTTTCCTAGCAAAGCATTTTACTGATATTAAGACGGTTTCTCTGTCTTCTAAATAGCATGAATATTTCTTGGAACTCATAGCTAATGCATCTCTTAAAGGTTCTTTGGTCAGCGATTGGTTGGTTACGTTTTCTTATGCAAATTTCTCTAGTAATTTTTAAGAATTTATTTGTAAGTTCTGTTTAAGGAATAATTAAAACTTGGGCATTTGAGAAAAGGTAGTATGTTGAGTTATAGTCTTCAACATATTTTGGAATTATAATTCTTGTAATTCTCATATATAATGACTATGAATGTTGGAAGCTATAATTTCAGCATGTCTCGAGGATACTTAATTGGGCAAGAATGTTGTATAGAGTTTCTTTTCTTTACAGATCACTTTTGTCCTCTAAATTCCTCTTTTGGTCTTTGTTCATGGAAAGAACAACACAATTATTTCTTGTGAGGAAATGTCCACCACTGTTTGTTGAGAAGCTTTTAGAGGGATTTGGTGTTCCTCTTGATGTTTAGCAGATATCACAAGGAGTTCTGACAAAGCTGTTGCAAAACATATTTGAAGGAAGATGGAATTTTAAGAGTTTTGTGGATACTGAATCTCTTTATAGCAGTGTTAATACAAAGTATAAAAATAATGTGATAAAATAAAAAGAGGGAAAGAAAAAAGGGGGGAAAAGAATAATTCTTATTCATGTATAGCTAGTTCAATCCTTTAAAATATTACTAAATCTAGACCATAGAGAAACATATTCCTCTATCTTCTCATCTTTAGAATATAAAAACATTTCAAAAACTGACAAGTACACTTATTTTTTAACCCATTCTTTAATATCAAAGATGTACAATTCTTTCATCTACATAACAATTTATTTTAGACTCTATAAAGCAGGAGTTTGCCTTAAAATCTTAAATTTCTAGGTAGATTGATACAGTTTCCTAAGTGCCACCTTTTTCTGTGTTTTAATGAGCACGTGTTGAAACTTAACACATTCCTATACTATTAGACTTCCCTGGAAGACCAAGAATCTTCATTGACTTGCTTGAAATAGTTTCATTGGACTTGTGGATTTGACAGGTATCCGTAGTGTCATGGATGAGTCACACTTCCTCCATTACACACCTATTCTTGCTTCATTTCTGCTATGATGTGGTATCTGATAAAGAATCATGCCTGTTTGTTTCTGGTTATGTAAACTCTGCACAAATTTGGATGGCAACTAATATACTGCTGTATTAAGACTAAGTTTTTCGAGCTATTTATAATTACAGGCACACAATTACTTCCTGTACTAGAAATGTAAGACAGGATCTTGAAAATTCTTGTTGCCAATTACAAGATGGCAGAACTTTGGATTCATTGTTCTCTTCTTTTCAACACTATAATCATTTCAGTGCTTGGGTAGCTTGGTTTCTGCAGCTATCTGGAGTCATACAGTTTCACAAATTCTATAGATAATGTGCAGAGTGTGATAGTCAGAAGTGCACAAAACTAAAAACATCTTGGTCGTCAACCCTTCTGGCCTGTAGGTATGCCATTAACTTTTATTTTTAAGATCGGGGGTACACTTCTGTATATTTGGTCCACAAATAAACAATATCAATAAGAGAAAACAGATAAGGAATTAGTATAGAAATTCCAAAAGGAGGATCTGTCAGTGGTCTGTAACAGCAAATAGCATTGGAACTTCCATCAGGTTGAAAAGTAGTAGTAGGCAAAGACAAGATTTCTAGTATCTAGAATACTGTAACATAAAACTGGCAGAATGGATGGCATATATATTCATTCTCTCCCTCTCCCCCCCCTCTCTCTCCCTCCCTCTCTCTCTGTTTTTGTGTGTGTGTAAAAGAGCATCTGAACAGCTAAAGTCTATATAAATGATGGATAAGGTTTGAGAGGTATTTGGGATAGCATCTGGACATGTTGCTCAGTTTTAGTTCTGAGAAGGAAGGACACACCTCTTCTTCACAACTTCAGCCCCATCAAAGTAAGGCATATAGCAGTGGTGGCGAACCTATGGCACGGGTGCCAGAGGTGGCACTCAGAGCCCTCTCTGTGGGCACGCGTGCCATCGCCCCAGTCCTAGGCTTTCAGCTGGGTTTTATAAAACCTTTTCACTTTAGGCCTCCGTCGCCGTGTGCAAAAAAAAAAAAGGGTTCAATCAATCAATTTCAACTTCTTGCTGGGGGAAAAAAATCTTGGAAAGTTGGAATTGATTGATTGAACTTTTTAGTCCCACACAGTCTGCCGTTACCACCGCAGCCACGTCCAATGGGACACACCCACCCGATTGGCCACACCAAGCCAATGGGCCACACCCACCCGGCACCCAACGATGCATAAGTGACTTTTGGGTTGCAGTTTGGGCACTCGGTCTCTAAAAGGTTTGCCATAACTGGCATATAGCATATTCACAACAACCCCAGAATATTGCTCCATCAGTATTGGACCTTTAAGGCAGATGAAGATGCAAAATACAATTTGGTGCAAGAGGGTGCAAGAGGGAAAAAAAACCCCTCCTCTTTGTAACACATAAGATTTCAGATCTGAAGTGATATTCTACTCATATAATTTTGATTATCAAAATTTAGTTCAAAGAGTATTGGAAATTGTAATGTTATAAAAGCGTGAGTGTTATAAAAGTGTGAAAAAAGTTTTGGCCCCTTCAGAAATGTATGGTTGTGAGAATGCCTTATAGTATTGGAAGCCATGGCTATTGAAAAATTTCAAGTATCTTAAATGTATAGCAAAAATGTAAGGAAATTGATATTTGTGAGAAAGCCTTTTAACTATATGAAAGAGTTTTATATTTTTATATATTTTATAGTTTTATTTATATTTGAGAGCGGGCAACTAAATTTCATTTTTGATGTGTGCCGTTGTGCCCACAGTAAAAAAATGACAATAAAGGTTATCTTATCTTATATATTAAAACAGATAATTTGAGTAACTGCCTCATTTTTATAATAGCTTGTATCATTGAGAACTATAAGCGTAGTTCTGTTGTCATCTGGTGGTATTACAAGCTTCTTCCATTAGACTTCTGGTTCTATGAGCTTTGTATAAAAACAAAGGAGGAGTAGAGGTGGGCAGTCTAAAATAATTGTTGTGAATGATAGTATAATTAAGAAATACACTGTACAGTGTAAACCCATTTAAGTTTTATTTTTCATTAAGTTTCATCTTATTCAGTCAATTAATGTGGAGCTAAACTTCCCTAAAATATTTTCTCTGGGGCTTTGGATTTGTCAGTGGAAAATTATTTATTTGTGCTATTGTATTCTTTATTAAACACTTCTCCCAATGTATTAAAATTATAACTCCAAGAATTTTCAATTGTCATGACTTTTAATTAACATGTTGAAAGTAATTCTATTAGTTCAGCAAGTGTTTGCAATAATTTCAATTTTCCTATTTCTTTTTGTTACTTCCAACTTTTATTTTGTTATTTTAATTATTTTGAATAGCATTATTATGTTTATATATAATTGTTAAATATATAAATGAGTTAATATAAAAACAATATAAAATGAGTTAATATGTAAATTAATTTCCAGCTCTCAAAATGAAAGCAATATAACTCCCAGGACTTCCAGTCAATAGTGCCCATCATCTATTTGGAAGGTACTAAATTAGGAACTGTAATAAATGCACGGATGCTCCAATGGAAGCAGTGCACAATACAAGTAGTCTTTGACTTACAACAGTCCATTTAGTGACCGTTCAAAGTTACAACCACACTAAAAAAGATGACTTATAAACATTTTCACACTTAACAACTTGCAACAGCATCATGATTACGTGACCAAAATTCAGCTGCTTGGCAACTGGCTCATATTTATGACAGTTGTAATGTTCTGCCTCATGTGATCACCTTTTGCGACCTTTTGACAAGCAACAAGCAAGCCAGATTCATATAATCAGTGTGGCTAGAAAAATTGTAAAATGGGGCAAACTCAACAAATGTCTCACTTAGCAATAGAAATTTTGGGCTTCATTGTGGTCGTAAGTCGAGGATTACCTATAGATTTCAGTCCTCTTCTGTTGCATCTGTCCTCTAATCACTTTCTTTTTCCTTCCAACATTGCAGGTTTATGAGTGATCAAACATTCTTTTTACACTAAGCCAGGAGGGAGTGGGGCAAAGATGCCGATACCACCACCTCCTCCACCTGGACCTCCTCCACCTCCAACTTTCAGTCAGGTAATCCTTCTGCTTCTGTGTATTGCTTTATCTCTAGTATGGATTAATCACAAGGAATCTTTATTTCTACTGATTATGTCAGCTTGTGCATCTTCCATATATGTAGACCTGTGGCTCTAGTCCTAATTAGTATGGCTTTGGCTTAGAATTTTGAAAATGGAAATTCATATAGAGAGTGCTTCGGTTGTTGCTAAGGTGATATAAGAAAGTCAGGTCCAGTTGCTGTCACACATCTCTATGCCCAGGTATCATAACTAGGAACAACCTGTTCCTAAAATTTATATATGTTCAGTAGATAATACCAAGTTACATATAAGTATAAGGCAGTTTCATATACAGTGTATGTGTGAAGACCATAGATTATGTACCTTTTATATTGGTCCTTCAGGATTTAACCCATTATTACTCTAGTTCATATGTTATAAAGAAGTAGGGCTGGAGGGATCCTGAGAGATGACATTAAATATATTGGCTGTTCATAGATTAACCACCAAGAGTGATTTGATTGCAATATTACAGATATAATACATAAATGAACCAAAAATGAAATATTTATTTTAGATTGATAGATAAAAATAATGGAAAGAGTAGGAATTGCAGATGAGGTGAAAATAGTTCTTTGAAAGCCTTTTCTAAACCATAAGTAAGAAATTTTTAGCTGTAGAAGTACAAGCCTTCTGGCTATAGAATTGTGCAGTTCATTACATGTAGCCTTTTTTGGTGATGTGAATGAAGGATTTGTGTGATCTTCAGGCTGCCAAGGGATAAGAATTCCCTTTTCATTTTTTTGTGCAACATTTCCTTTCAGGCAAATACAGAAGCACCAAAATTGAACAGAGATGAGCAGCGAGGGAGAAATGCTCTGCTGCAAGACATTTGTAAAGGGACCCAACTGAAAAAAGTGGCTCAAGTTAATGATCGCAGTGCACCTATCCTTGAAAGTAAGTAGGTGAATGAAGTAACCGTCAGAAGATTTTTTTTGTTGTCAAATTAAAGGAAAGGTGTTACATTCCCCCAGTTGTTCCTTTCTTTTGGGAATAACCTATAGCTCTTTAGACATATAAGATGGGTTCATATATTTCTATTAGTGCTTTGCTTGTACCATGAAACCAGAGATTGGAATTTATTCAACAAATTATGATTAGACAGAGCATCATTTCCCATAATGTGTGAATTAGGGCAGCAGTGCAAACAGAATTTGGGAATTAATGTTTAAAATAATTGAATTCCAGGCATGTGAGAGAATCATCCAGAAATTAAATAAAGGTAATTAGGTGAGGGCTTGTTAGGTGAGATGGATTGTTTTTAGTCCAGTAAATAATTATTTAAGCAATTTAGATACAATCTGTTGCCCTTTCACTTTACTTCTGACCATGAATGACTTTGTTTTTTTCTGGTTCGTTCTTATTATATAGTGCCCAAATTTTTTCTGCTGTTATTGTTTGGTTATTGATTGTTTTGAATTTAATTCTTCTAGTTTAGGAAGGCAGGAGGGAAAAAATTTGTGGAGTTTGAACTGTTATAGTTTAACCATTGGAATTTCTACTCAGTACCATTGTGTTTCCTATACCTATTGTATGCTAAAAGTTATTTTAGACTTTCCAAAGGGAGTTTTTGATGCTGGGTACAGTCCTGCTCAATAGAAAAGAATGTAAACTGCCTGAAATCTTTAGATTAATATTAAAATATATATAAAGTTCAAGCATTTACACATTAATAGTAAACATTAGAAACAAACGTTTCTGAATTTTGCATTTTAAATTAAAGAAAAAGAACATATTTTTAAAGCATTCTAGGGGAAAATATATTAAACTTTGGACATTTGAATAGTTGCAGGTAGGCCTAGCAATTATGGGTTTGCTTGCAATAGCTGTAATTAATAAACTTTTTGTGTTACACAGTCTGACAAATTAAATAATATTATTTAACTTATTTCAGAATCCAAGAGTGGCAGCAGCTATAATTCTGCTGCATCTCCTCTTTCAACAAAAGTGGGCCTTTTCCAAGGTGGTATCCCCAAACTACGACACATGGGAGTAAAAGAAAGTTCAGGTGATGTTTTTAAAAATACCTTTTTTAGAGGTTTTGAAACATGAGTTGATTTCCCTTGCTGTGCCATACCTATGTCCATATTTGAATCTGTATTCCTTTTACTTTCTATTGGAAATAGTAAAGTTTAGGCATTTAAAATCCAATCATCTGCAATTAGGAATACATATTATATATAGCATTGGGTATAATTTCTGTTCAAGCAGGTCTGTAAGTTTTATTAAATTGGATGGTCATTTTTACCAGTGAGCTTTACGCCTTTAAGAAATAAGGTAACTTTTTCACAGCAGAGCTATCTGTATAGGCTTTGATCCATTTAGCTGATTTTACATACCATTTTTTAATTTTTCCAGACAACTCCTCTGGGAAGGTACTACATCAGGGTTCTGGGGTTCGATCAGCTGCACCCCGGCCTCCTGTGTGTGCTACTAGCACACGACCCCAAGATGACACTGAAAATAGCCGAGCTTCTCCCCCAGAGCTTCCACGCATGCAGAGACCTTCATTGCCAGATCTTTCACGGCCAAACAGTGCCAGTGGCACTGGTATGAAGCATAGCTCTTCAGCCCCACCACCGCCACCTCCTGGACGGCGAGCCAATGCTCCTCTTGCTCCACATTCTATGCATAATAGCAAAGCACCTTCCTACAACCGTGAGAAGCCATTGCCACCAACTCCAGGACAAAGGCTTCCAGGAAATCGTGATGGACCACCAGCTCCTCCTCCCATCAAGCCCCCCCCTTCCCCAGTAAATATCCGGTCAGGACCAAGCAGTCAGAGCCAATCCTTGGTACCCCCTCCCCCACCTTACCGGCAGCCTCCTGGTGTCCCTAATGGCCCTGCCAGCCCTATTAATGAATCTGCTCCTGAGCTTCCCCAGAGACACAATTCCTTACATAGAAAGACACCTGGACCAGGGAGGGGTATGGCACCTCCCCCTCCTCCTTCAGCATCTCCTTCCTTACAGAATAGTCGGCCCCCACCTCCTGCCCGTGATCCTCCAAGCCGAGGTGCAGGTAAGAGATTTTTACAGCCCCCTTCAGCTTAAAAATAGGTTGATAACATTCAACATTTAATGTCTGAAAACAGAAAATGCTTCAGAGCTATTTATATTTTCTAATCTGGATGTATAGAGATAGATTTACAGAAGATGCTAATTGCCCTGGTTTCACAGACAAGGCCACTGACAAAGAAGTTCCATATAGCAGAAAAATAATGGAATAAGGATTATAACTAGAAAATATCTGCAGATGTATATAACAATGTTTAACAGAAAGTTTGGGAACTTGGGTTTGTAGCTGATCTCAAAATTTTTGATTTGGTGTTTCTCCAGCACAGGAGATGGAGAATCCACCAATGGGTTTGCTCCGTCTTCCTGCTCTTGAGACCAAGTCAGCCAAACTTGCCACGCCCCTGCTGGGCTAGGAGACACCCAGTCTTGGTCTCCAGCTCTAAGAGATGTGACAGGTTTGGCTCTCAAAAGTCTTGCAGGTAGTGAGTTCTCCCATTAGTGGATTCTTCATTTCCTCACCTCCTCAACTATCTCAGCAGCGCTGGGAACAGCGCTGCTCCAGATTGTCTATTGGAAGGCTAGGGGGGGGTTCCTTTCCCCTTCTCCTTGCCCCAGGGCTCATTGCTGAGGCTTCAGCCCTTCGTCCTCTCCACCCCTTGTCCTTTAGGTGCTTCAGCGCTGGGCTCAGCGCTGCAGCTTGGATTGCTGAGGCTTCAGCCTTTCGTTTTTTCCACCCCTTCTTCCAGTGGCTTTAGTGCTAGGTTCAGCACTACAGCCTGAATCTTTCCCCAGCTTCCCAGGAAAGATACACAAGGCCCCTTGGCCTCCAGCACATTTCTTCTCTCCTCGTTCATCGCGGCACCCATTTTGCAACAGTTGTTTGCAACTCCGGAGGGGGGGAGGCTCCTTGTAAGGCCGTTCCTTACCATTACGAGCGAGGAAAGAACTCACATCAGCGCAAAGCCGATTTTAGTCTCCTTACTGGCAATTGCGATCGGCCCAATTGCTGAAGATCGCGTTACGATCTGAGCGGCCACCATTTTGGCCGCGCCCTGTTCTTGCCTGAGGGGAATGTTGGGTCTTTCGGCTTTTCGTCGCATCGAGAGCCCACCCCTCTGTCGCGGTTGCAATTCGATCGCCGCTAGCCTGGTCTGGCCGGCCCCTTCCTCCCTGACAGCTTCCACGCTCGGTATTCCATATAGGCATTATTAACCCTCACAGCCGCCATTTTAGCTGCTGTCTGCCAGGCCCGGCCTGCACCCCCGCGTGATCTCCCCGTGCTGCCACCATTTTGGACACGTGGCGGGCCGCTTGCATGAAGGTGCCCTAGGCTGTGGTAAATTTGACATCCAGGCTGGCAGCGAGGCCACTCTGTGCTCAAACAACTCGGGCCACTCTGGTGCAACTATTTTTGACCTGGCCACCAAAGGATTTCAGGGGCTGCACACCAGTTGGCTGTCACAGCCTCTGTCACAGATTGACCCGTCCGGGGAGCGTGCTGATCTCTTCCTCATCGCTCCCAAGAAGGTCAGGTGGCCAGGGGAGCAGTGCACATTTCCCTGCTCCAGCTGCTTTAGCCAACCTGCCAATTGATCCCCTGCCAGAGCTCCCTCTCAGTACTTCCTGAGATAGCTCCCTTCGGGATGGAGGACTCCACGGTGCCCCAGCTCACAGCCACCGTCTCCCCATCCACTGGCCAAGAAAAACACAAATCCTCCAAACAGGAGGCGGCAGGCAGGATTAAGGCCAAGGCCAAGGCCATTTCCAGGAAGCCTTCCAAATTGTCGGAGAAACAGGCGAGCAGGAGGCACCAGGCCCTAGAGAAGGAGTTCTCCAGAGCGCAGAGACAGGCCAGGACAGAGGCAGAGCAGGCCGGACTCCGGACTTTGACCTTCCGCTGGGGCCTTCGACCTCTACCCAGGGGGTGTGGTCCCCGCAGGACAATACCATTTTACAACCCCCTCCCTCCGGGGCGGGTCACGGTAGTACCACCCACCCAACTTCATTCACTCTGCGGGCCTCACATCTGGGCCCAGAGGCCACCTTTACCTCTATGGCTGCTGGGCTCAGGGAGGGTTGAACCCGCAGGCACCCCCTCTGATGATCACCTTGAAGCTCTGATCTCTCGGGCGGTTGACCGGGCACTTGCCGCAAGGTCCTACCACATACCCAGGACAGAATCAATGGCAGCCGCATCTCCATCTTATTTTCCCCAATCAGAGCCTCCCAGGTACCATGGTCCCCCCTCACCTTCCCGCTCTTCGTATAGTGGGGCCTCTCCTCCAGCAGAGTACGGCCAGCCAGACATCCCATGGTCGGAAGAGGAGGATTCCCCTCCAGACCCTCCTCCACCTGGAGGTCTCTTCAACACGGCCCTTTTTTTCCACTTCTGCGCAAGGCCAGCACCACGGCCAACATAGGTCCCGATCGGGTCCCTCCACTGGACCCTCCGCCCACTTCAGACCCAAATCCGGTGTTCTTTGAGACTATTACGACTCAGCACCATGTCCCTTGTCCATCCCTCTTCCTGAATGCCGTTTGGAAGCAATGGGCCTCACCGGGTACCTTTCCCCCTCCAGGAGAAATGGACAAAAAATTGTTCAGCACAGCACCAGATTTGACTGACGCCCTGGAGGTACCAAAGGTGGACGAACCTTTGGCCCCTCTCTTGCCCTCGTCCACAGTGTCGGGAGATATGGCTGAAGCGCTGAAGATGGAGGACAGGAGATGGGAATTGGCCTTCCACAGGACCCACCAGGCGGCGGCATGGGCGGTGAGAGCAGCCACTTGTGCTTCCTTCTTTACCAGGACCTCTCTCCTCTGGCTTCGTCAACTTCAAGCCAGAATCCCTCCAGAGGAGATACGCACTCACCAGGATTTGAGTAAGCTGGTTGCAGCGACAGAGTATGCCTCTGACGAAACCTTGCAGGCGGCCAGATTCTCCTCCAAGTCCATTGGATCCAATGTCACAGCACGTCGGATGCTAGGGCTTAAACATTGGCAAGCCAACACCAAATCCAAGTGGTGTCTGGCTGCGGCCCCTTATCAAGGAGGGCATTTGTTTGGAGAGGTCCTAAAACCTTATTTGACCGAGAATAAGGATAAGCGGAAGGTCATGACACATCTCAACAGGTGGACTGACAGGTGTGCTAATCCATACCCTCGCAAGCAGTCATTTCGGTCAGGAATGGGTTCAGAAGCCTTACAGCCTCCCCTCCCCTTCACGGCTAGACAGGATTGTCCATCCGACAGACCTGGTTTCAGACCCAGGCAACAGTACCAGGGCAAGCGGCCCTTTCGTGGAGGTCCAAGTGACTCCCGGGCTGCCCCTCCCATAGGTGGCAGGCTATCCTTTTTTTTCCACCAGTGGGAGCTCACCACCACAGACTCCTGGGTCCTCCAAACCGTCCAATTTGGCCTGTCCCTGGAATTCGTATCCAGCCCACCGGGGCACTTCATCTCTTGCCCCCAGTCACGGAATTCAATCAAACGGGGCCTCATGCAAGAGGCCATTCGTCATCTTCTAGACATAAGAGCCATAGAACCGGTACCGGCTGGTCAGAAGGGAGAGGGATTCTATTCCATCCTCTTCGTGGTTCCCAAGGCCTCGGGAAGATGGAGGGCAATTCTAGACCTCAAGGGTTTGAATTCCCACATTGCATACCGGAAATTCAAAATGCGAACGCTCCAGTCCATCCTAGGCAGCATCAGAAAGGGAGACTTCCTGATGTCCATAGACCTCACAGAAGCGTATCTCCACATCCCTATCCTTCCCGACCACTGGCGGTTCCTCAGGTTCTGTTATATGAGCCACCACTACCAGTACAGGGCCCTGCCGTTCGGACTCTCCTCGGCTCCCAGAGTGTTCACCAAGATCCTGGTGGTGCTCGCAGCACACCTAAGACTGGTACCGGTACACATTCAATGCTACCTGGACGACATTCTCATCCAGTCTTCCTCCCTTCTGGTAGCCCAGTCAGACCTGGGTTTGTCAATCCAGGTCCTCCAACAGCACGGATTCTCGGTGAACTTCCAAGAGAGTCAGACAGTTCCCTCGACCCGACTCCCACACCTGGGCCCTGTCATAGACACAGTCGGTTGCCTGGTCTATCTATCACAGGAGCGTCGGGACAGTATCCGGGACCTAGCACTCAAGGTATGCAGGGAACGCTTAGTGTCACTGGCCCTACTTTCCCAACTCTTGGGAAAGATGGTTTCTTGTATCGCCATAGTCCCTTGGGCCAGACTCCATTCCAGGAGTTCAAATGGTTTCTGCTCCCCTTCCAGAGGTTGGGCACCAGTTCAACCAACAGGTAAGGGTTCCTGCTCAAACCCTGAGATCCCTTGGTGGTTCTCGCCAGCGGCAGCCAGAGGGTCACTATTCAAGGAACCTGTCCGTCTTACACTTACAACGGACGCCAGTATGTTGGGCTGGGGAGCACACCTCCGGTCTCAGTTCACGCAGGGCCGTTGGTCCCGCGCTGGAGCTCAGAGCCATACACCTGGCTCTCCGCCACTTCCGCAACGAGGTTGCAAGGCAGCACGTGCTAGTCCTTACGGACAATGTGGTGGCAAAGGCCCACGTGAACCGGCAAGGGGGTACCCGGTCCAGGTCCCTCATGGCCGAGGCCCAGCTCCTGGGCAGAGACCAACCTTTCCTCCCTCAAGGCTGAGCACATCTCGGGGGAGGCAAACCGGCAAGCAGACTTTCTAAGCAGGTCGACCGTGGATCACTCCGAATGGCGCCTGCATCCGGATCTCTTCGCAGAGATGACGCGACGGTTCGGACAACCGGTCCTCGATTTGTTCGCTTCTCCGGCGAACGCCCAGCTCCCGAGATTCTTTTCCCGGTTCCCATCCCCAGGGGCAGAGGGAGCGGATGCCCTTCGAGCCCCATGGCTGGGGGGTCTGCTGTACGCATTTCCCCCTCTCCCCCTGATCCCGGCAGTCATTCGCAAACTACTACTGGAACGGGCAGAGGTAATCTTTGTGGCTCCGTATTGGCCTCGGAGACCCTGGTTCGCTGACCTTGTAAATCCCGCTCTCCCGCATGGAGAATCCCATCGGATCGCATATCTCTCCACCAGGGGGTTCTACGACACCCGGAGCCCCAATGGCTACAGTTAGCCACCTGGCACTTGAACGCCGGATCATGACCCAAAAGTCGTTCTCGGCTAGAGCCATTTCCATGATTCAGGCATCTCGCCGGCTGGCGATCAATCGCATCTATGACTCCACATGGAGGAATTTTTGCCATTGGTGCGAAAGGCAGCAACTGAATATCTCGGACTTGACAATTCCACAGATCTTAGAATACTTCCTAGACGGCCTTGATAAGGGCTTAGCCCCTAATACCATCTGTAGGCAGGTTGCGGCCCTATCAACATTACTTACCTGTGCCAATTCGGTCCCTTTGGCCCAGCATCCCAGGATACGCGCCTTTCTCAAGGGTGCCACCAACACTAAGCCACCCATGGTACACAGGTATCCCTCTTGGGAATTACCTCGGGTTCTACGGGCTCTCGCCAGACCGCCGTTTGAGCCTCTCACAGCTAGTGCTCTACGGTCCTTATCCCACAAGGTTGCCTTCCTGGTCGCTATCACGTCAGCCAGGTGCATTTCTGAGCTGGCTGCACTGTCGGTCAGGGATGACCTCTGTATCTTCCACCGGGACCGGGTGGTCCTGATTGGATCCCACATTCGTGCCCAAGGTCAACTGTCTTTTTCATAGGGCCCAGGAGATTGTTTTGCTGGATTTTTGTCCTAATCCTTTCCATGACTTGGAGCGACAGTGGCACACGCTGGACGTCCATTGGCACTATGCCGATACATCAAGTGAACGGCGTCCTTTCGCAGGTCCGAGGCCCTCTTTGTTTCTTTTTACCCTGCCTCTCTGGGACAGAAGGTGTCTGCCTCCACTATAGACAGGTGGATCAGGGCCTGCATTGCGGAGGCGTATCAGTCGTTTTCCCTGCCAGCTCCAGGTCGTGTCATGGCTCATTCCACTCACAGCACTGCGACCTCTGCAGCATAGGCCACTCAGGCGTCCATCGAAGAAATTTGTAGGGCTGCGACATGGTCTTCGCCTTCCCCATTTGTTAGACATTATAAAATAGACCGCTTTGCTTCCGTGGGCCCCTCCTTTGGTCGGAGGGTCCTCCAGCAGATGGTGTCTGGGGATGCGGATCCGGCCTTGTCTGTTTCCCTCCCATTAGGACAGCGAGGCTTTGGTATGTCCCATTGGTAGATTCTCCATCTCCTGTGCTGGAGAAGGGGCATTGTCTTACTTGAACGCCTTTTCTCAGCACGGAGATGGAGAAGCTACTCCCACCCCTTAGGGTCCGTAAGGCCGAGGTTAGGGGTCTGAGAGCCAACATCTCTGGACTGTCATCAGCTGCTTTTGCCCTCGTCAAGACTGGGTGTCTCCTAGCCCAGCAGGGGCGTGGCAAGTTTGGTTGACTTGGTCTCAAAAGCAGGAAGACGGAGCAAACCCATTGATGGATTCTCCATCTCTGTGCTGAGAAAAGGCGTTCAGGTAAGACAATGCTCCTTCTGAAAAAAACCTATTTACAGTGCTAAAATTTGATGACATTAGTGTGCGCCATGAGTTAGGAAATTCTTCGTCCAACCATTATGAATACGTAAACAAGCCACAGATCTCTCCCTTTCAGGCTCTTCATCTTCAGTATTGATCTAAATTTGAGACATCAAGAATTTTAGGGATAATGTTGAATGCTTGATAGTGATTTCATAAACTCTTAGTGCAACGGTCCCCAACTTTTCTGGATTGGCGGCCCGGTGGGAAAGGGATGGGCAGACACCTTTATGTGCGCATGCGCATACACCCAAATGTGGCTGCATGCACGTGTATGCGAATGGGGCAATGAAGGATGTTAGAGTGTGATATATTCATGCTCTGCATTTCTCTTATTTATTTCTAAAATGCTGTACTTCCTCTTCACAGCACTCACCAAATCTTCTGTTAGCTTACTCTCTTGGGATTAAAATCAAATGTATGACTTGCCCCAGTATTGTGGATACAAACTTCTATACAGAGCAAGGCAGAGCTTTGCATACATACAGTGTGAATGATGTAAAATATGAATGGAAAATGAATTGCCAGTTTAGTTATGCACATCATATATTTTTGGCTATCAAAGATGTATTTTCAGAATTGGGCTGCATCTGCTAAATTTAGGCATAATAGTTTGTGTATCACATTAAGTCATGATGTGGCTTGCTTAATTTCAGTTGTAAACTCTATGTTTATGAACCATGGAGTATATCTTAACGTTTGTACCTGGCCTTTGTAGCTTAATCAATAACTATGGCTAAAATAACTATGACTTTGCAATGGAGTCCATGTCTTTGCTGATGTGGAGAATTTCTGTTTAGCTCCACCACCACCTCCACCCATGATACGAAATGGTGGAAGAGATGCACCTCCACCGCCTCCACCCTACAGAATACATGGGTCTTCAGATCCCATGAATCGTGGGAAACCACCCCCTCCTCCTACCAGAACACCAGTTGGACCACCCCCTCCTCCCCCACCAATGAGAAATGGACATCGGGACTCTATCTCTACAGTTAGGTCTTATTTGGGTGAGTAAAAAGAGCTTGTTGTTCTGATAGGTTCCTTTGACATTTAAGTTGAATAGGGAAATATTCAAGATTCTAGACTACCCAGAAAGGAATGGCTGTTACTAATCTTCTTTGTTTAATTCTGAAGGCTATAAAAATATTTAGATTAGCCAGGATAATTTTTTCTTTTTTCTTTGTCTTTTTTATTTAAATATGTTTTATTAATTTTTAATATATATCTTAATATTTGGTAAATATCATGTTGTCTGGGTTAATGTTTAAAAATAATAACAATTTCTATAATTCTATGGTCCATATAATAGCTTTACTCGATTTCCTCTTCTTCCAGTAATATTCTCTTTTGCTAGCCTTAACTTAATACAGTTCTTATTTAAATAAATTACAATTAAATAGAAACATTTTTCTCATGTTTCTGCAAATAATAACCACATCAATATAAATCATTTTTTTATTAATCATCTTAATTGCCTCATCATAATCCTATTTATACTCTTATTTAAATTTGTTTTCCCCACAATATTCAAAACATTCTTACTGGTTAAGATTTTCTCAAAATTAGTTACACTTAAGTGTTTAAGTCTTTTTTCTTAAACAAGCCATCACATTTTTACATTTCCCATGTCTTAAAGAAAAATAAGAGGGAAAAAAACCCAAGAAGTTTAGAGTTTATAATTCTCACTTTGTAGAAAGCCCAAGATGTTTTCTTTTTTCTTTGTCACAGCTGTTCTCTGTTATTAAGACACTGAAAGTCAGCAGAATCAAATTTATCTTTTCCTGAGCCTTGCCAGTCCCTGTAATAGAGCAGCTGTTGTATATTTTTATCCACCACTAGATGTCAGCACCAGTTCTTTCAGTTCTTTTCAGTAATAGACAATTATTTACTTCTATTTTCATGATATAAAAGGAAAATCTTAACAGATTCCACCAATTTCAAATTTATCCAAATTAAGTCTTATATTATTTTTATTTTAATATATTTCTCTTCCTCCTGGAAGGTTTAATTCGCCGCTTCCATCTGCAGGAGGGTGAGGCAAAGGTCCCCCTTCTCACTTTCGGAGACTTTTTGCTTCTTCTTGGTTTTTCTTTCCTTTTTTCCAGGAAATCAATTTTCAAGTAGAAGAGAGAAAATCACTGTTCTTACCCAGTTCCAAACATGTTGTTTACAGTTAGCTTGAAGTAGTACTTTTGTAGCTTGGGCTAGATTTGGAAGTTAAGCTAGCCTCTTCTGCTGGTTTCTGGAGGGCTTTTCCCAAACCGATCAGATCAACCACTGTCTCTCTGCAATTGGCAGGACTTCCCCCCTTCTATGTTGCCTTTGTCTACGGGGCAACTTCAGGCCCATTTAGGGTCCCCTGATTTTAGGGCAGAAATCAGCCATAGGGTGCGGAGCCCCGTGATCCTCAGCTGCTGCGCTTCTGCGCAAAACCGGAAGGCGAGAAAAATTTTTCTTTTTGAGGATGTAGTGGTAAAATCAAACTCTGCTGCTCGATGTTAGGAGCCAGCTATAAAATATAACATTTTTGCCTTAAATATTGGTATCAAATTATATACATTTGATGCTTGAAATTAATCTGTTAGTCTAGTGAACCTACCAAATGTAATTACAGTAGAATAGAAGTTGATCATATTGTATCTGCAAGAAAAAAGTAGTTTTAAAAAGTTGAGTATCTGTAATCTAATACTCTGTGGGATACATATGGAACTAGTTCATTTTATGTTTTATGTTGCTTTTGATATTCTGATCAAAAGTTATCTGGATACGCAAAGAACATGATATGTATTTTATGTCAGTTGCATTTCCAAATAGCAGTAGTTTCTTTACTTTAGGTGCCAGATGACATCTTGCTGAATTGTGCCACAAATGTTCTATCTATGAGGTCTAACTACCTCATGATTTTAGTTGGCCATTTTCATCTTGCACAGGAGTCTTACAAAGCCTTAATGATAACAACAGCAGGATGGGTGTGTGACTTTCAGACTTATCTAGCAAAATCCACCATTTTGTTTTTGTTATTTGAATCTTGTACAGATGACTTTGAATCCAAATACTCTTTTCATCCAGTTGAAGATTTCCCAGCTCCAGAAGAGTTCAAATATTTTCAGAGAATTTATCCCAGCAAAACTAACAGAGGTAAGTACTAAACTGTAATTTAATACACTGCAATGTTGCATCACAATTTGCAAACTGGCAGGCTTAATAAGGGATTTAACAACAATCCATAAGGCAAAAATGCTGCCACCAACAGGATGAGTTAAATTGTGTTTATCATTAATTTACTTCTACAGGTAATTCATTTATTTGGTGGCTATTCGAATAATGGCATTGAATGAGGGGTAGTTATAACAGATTCTCATACTTATGACTGCCACAGCATTCCACTGTCAAACATTCACCATTTTTGACCTTCACTGCTGATTTTTAAGCAAAATCATGGGAAAATGTCAAGAAGTCACAAATGGTGATCATGTGATCACAGGACACTGTGATCAAGTGGGATTTGCCTAACAATGCTAACTAGGAACTGCTGAAATAGCCATCACAAGTTGACACAGTCTCGTGACATTACCCCTTATGACCATGTTGCTTAGTGATGCAATTCTCAGTTCTAAATACTGTTGTTAAGTAATTGTTTCTTGATTGTTCCAAATTATGCCAATTGTGCAGCCTTATATATGTTATGCCCATAGTTCTAAAATTGCCATGGAACCATAGTAAACTCATAAGAATGCCCGGTCTGATTGATTACATCTTGGCATTTTTTTGACTGCTATACTGCAGTTCTATTTTTTTAATATATATAATCACTTTTGCCTTGCCGCCCCCCAAAGAGTTAGAAAATTAAGTGGGAGACTAGTATAGCTATTTCAGGCTCATTAGCCCTCATCAGCTAGCCACACCCTTTATGGATTCGAACCTAGGCAGCTTACATGCTAGGCAGTTGTATTAACCACCAGGCCACTGGCTCTCCTCCCCTCTTTGTCAGCCGAGTCAAGGGAGTATATACAGAAAGTTTTTTAGACAGACCGGTCAGCAAAACGAAATCTGTTTTAAACTGAAATATATATATATATTATAAAAACAAATAAACACGAACACCAGGAAAAATTTAAACTAAAAACATTTAATCTAATGCCCAGCTTTCGTCGGCCAACTACCGAATCATCAGGGCTTAAAACAGGTCGATGGGAATCTCCTTTATAGTGTTGGTCAGTTTTTGCGCACAGCTTCTGGACCTCGTCATCAACACACGCACAAAGGGAGAGAGTGGAGGAAGGGAAGCAAGTAACGGAGCAGCAGCCCCAAATAACATCAAGAAAGCAGCCAATACACAATCTAACCAATTAGGACTATTGAGTGGACCGATAACGAGGTCCAGGAGCCGTGCGCAAAAACTGACCAACACTATAAAGGAGACTCCCATCAACCTGTTTTAAGCCCTGATGATGTCGGTAGTTGGCCGACAAAAGCTTGGCATTAGATTAAACGTTTTTAGTTTAAATTTTTCATATATATATATGTAGGTCTTTAGTTATTCGGGTTTTCTCCCGCGTAGAATTAGAAGTGTCTTGGCGACGTTTCGACAAAGTCACATTCGTCATCTTCAGGCTGGTGTCTTCAGCTTCGTGCTTCTGGGAGTAGTGTGTGTGATCGCAGCTGTTTCTTCCTTTTAACTGCCAGTGGGGTTTGAAACAGCTGCGATCACACACACTACTCCCAGAAGCACGAAGCTGAAGACACCAGCCTGAAGATGACGAATGTGACTTCGTCGAAACGTCGCCAAGACACTTCTAATTCTACGCGGGAGAAAACCCGAATAACTAAAGACCTACATACAAACACCCGCGAAAACCTGTATGTATGTATGTATATGTATGTATATGTATATGTATATGTATATGTATATATATATATATATTTCTTAGGATGAAAACATCCATGTAAAAATTTCATGGTCTTTTTTGTTTTGGGGTCATGGTTCTTGTAGAAGAAAGCACCTGAATATATAATACCCATATATTAACACCCACTCTTATCTTTTCAGCTACTCGTGGGGCCCCTCCTCTGCCTCCTGTCCCTAGGTGAAAAACAGCAAATGAGCATTTTTGCTTAGCACCAAAACTTGTTCTTAAATTCTCTTCCCACCTCCAAAAAGCATTCCTCAGAAATCTGCATGAAAAATACATTCCTGCTTTTTTAATTGCAAGAACCTGGATGAACTTATCATTACTCAACTTTCTCTATGCATTTCACTCTCTGACATAAAAAGGCATCTGTTGGCATAGCCAGGTGAGAATACTCCTGCACATCAATGCTAATTTCCTCCCTTTCCTGCTATCTTTGTCACAAGGGGGGCGGGAAACCTTCAGTTCATAAACACTACAGTTCAAGAACAAGGGAAGAGTGAATGTTTCCCAGGAAAGAAAACCAATCAGAACAACAAAGCTATGGGCCAAGTTGAAGTGGTTATTTATAGATGCTTGCTTATCATAAGGAAGGAAATGGCCACAAATTGTATGGATTAGGGAACATTAATTCTTTTTTAAAGGGCTGTGCTATGAAAAAAATTGAAATGGCTCCTTCATTTTTCATTGCAGGCACCACATATTCAGTTATTAAACTTTGTAACTTAAAGCAGGAGGAGAAAGATGAACTAAATGGCATGTCTTAAAGACAGTTTAAAAAAATGATAAAGCTGCATAAGAAAGCAGTATCTGTAGAAGTGCTCAAAAAAGTGGGCAAGTACAGAAGTTACCGTGCTATGTTTTGGCAGAGTTGTTGTCTTGCAAATCTGGAATCCTAATCTTTGATTGTCAGTTTCTCCAAAAGAAGCTGGCATCCTAAATGAAGCTTCTCAAAATGGGATTGTGTTTCTACAGAATAAAAGATACCATGGTAGAGATGAACAGATTGTAAAGTCTAATAGCTATCACTGATTTCTGCATTGTATTTAAAAAAAAAGGCATGACTGTTATTGAGGAACTAGCAGCCCCTGAAAGTGAAAAGAATGATGTCCTGACAAATACTGGGGATGAAGAACTAGTTTATAGCAAACTAGTGGATAAATGTTGCAATACAGTGCTGGCCATAGATAATACACTGAAGGTGCTACACCAGTATAGAACAAAATATATATTATATTCCAACTTGTTAGAATTTCTGATGCCTGAATGTCCTGTGTCTTCAGAAGATCCATCTTGCTCTCATTAACAGAAATGCCCAGCTTCATTGTCTTATCCTATGAATATTTTTCAGACATAATCAGTCTTGAGAATGTAACCATCTATTGCTGAGGGATGGCAAAACACCTGAGAAGTATTCTGTTTTTTTGCTGAGAAGTGGATGGGCGCTGGCTACTACCAATTCCAGAGCGTCATTGACTGTCTGAAGGTCCCATTGGCATACATTCCAGTCTAGTAATGGGGAACATACCTTTAATGGCAAACTTCCAATTAAAATTTTTAAATGACATACCATTTTGTTCTAGCTCAAAGCTGATCTTTAGTGGTTAGTACCTACTTCAACGAAATAACTTTGGAAATGATAGAAACTGGTGAAATTCCTTCATATTTTATTTTTGCTGGTTGTACACAATTGACACATTTTTCTGTGGTTCTTGCACAGACATTTTATGAGGTGGAGGGTTGTCAGTTATGTTTGTGACTTTTAGGATGTTTGTTAGGTCCTTTGCAAGAATGCCACTAATTCCAGTTAGGCCTCTTGGTGGTGTCATAGGAAATTCGATAGTGCTGGCCTTGTCTCTGAGATCAAAAGAGGTATTTACATTTGGCCTTTTCCCAGTATCAGAAAAAGGCCAAGGATGGATTGCACATCTGCTTCTCAACACAGTAGTTTACACTGCTGAAGACTCCCCTATGGGGATGCATCTCTCTCTTTCTGTCTCTCCCTCTCTCTCTTCATATAAATTTGTTAGAAAGCAGATTCCAGCAGTAAAAATGCCCAGTTCTGGATTAGACACCACTAAGCAGACTCTGAAGCAGAAGCAAATTTTTCATCTCATTTTATCTCATGCTCTGCATTTGGTTGTAACATCAAGACTAGATTGCTGGTTGGTGTTTTGCCTTATACAGTGGTTTTGTTATGTGATTGGTACCAGATTTATTATAATTATTATGTGTATTTACTCTTAAAATGTGGCATTGGGAAATTTGTGTTATAATGATAAATATTGATCTATTTTGTATGTTGTAAAAAGTTTGTAGGCTTGCTAGCCCTACACTACAAAAATTCCTTTACCACCCAATTTTTTTTTTTATGATGATGGAAATTTGTCTGCTTTTAAGTTAATGACTGGGCAGTCCCTCATGTTGAGGGACTAATGTTTGGTCAGAGGAATTTCTTTTTTTCTTCTGGAAGAAAATTAAATCTTATCCAGCATAACTTGCTGGGAAGAGAAGTTAAATGCACTGTGCATTTCAGGGAGGGGTATTATTTTTTTTATTATGTTCTGTATAATGTTGGCTTCCAGTGAGTATATCCTATGGGAAGCGCTGTGAAGGGGGTTCTTAAGCTTGAAATGGCAGTCAAATGGAAACTGAATACAAGAGGCATACAGTCATACTTGCACATTCTGGTCCAAAACGCTGCTTTATTTCTTCTTGCTGCCTCTTGCCCACATCCCTCCCTGGGCCAAGTTATCTGGTGGTTTAATTATGTGAGTGGGCAAGATGTATTTGCTTTTCCTTGCTAAGGCAAGAGTTTTGTACATAGTGAATTTAGCACATACATTTTCATACGCATTCTGAAAACATTCAGAAAAACCATATATTTGCAACTAGCACTACCAAGATAAAAATCTTAATTCTCTTATAGATCACTTTCACCAGTCTAGTGCCCCCATTTGTGTTGGCTGCAATATCCAGTAATTCTAACCAAGGTAATTATGTTGGTTAAAACTGATGGCAAGTATAGTCTTATCATCCGTGAGATCCATTTTAGGGAAGACTGCCTTAGGTTAATTTTGAACTTACACAGTCTTAGTTGCTCAGAAAATCTTCTATTTGTATCTGGAAAACTAAATTTGTAGCCTCTCACAGAGTCTTCATCCCAGTCTTCTTTCCTTCTTGCTATTGTTTTAATGCAATTTAAAGTAGAATATTAGGAAATGTTTTACACTCTTTTCCTACGGTACCTCTAGTTTTAAGGATGGTATAGGTTAAAGTATGATTTTTTGTTCTTCACAGTGTATCTGACCTTAAGGTATGAAATGATCGAAATATCAGTTCAGTAATATCTAGTTTCTTTAGCTGACCCAAGAATTTTTAAAAGTTTTATCTGTCTGATTTCTTGAGGCAATTCTACAGTTTTATATTGTTTATCAACAAATATGCCCACACAAATAAGATTTTCTCTATATGTACAAGAGGTACACAGTGATGCTGTGAAGGCTAATCACAGTCTACTAGTACAAAATGAGAGGAACCATTGCAAAGAACTGTGTGTCATGCTATCCTGTAACTATAAGTTTCAGAAGTTGTGAACATGAATTTTAAGAATTGGGGTTTTCTCTTATTTTTGATGGTTTAGGAGAGGGCCTTTGTAGCTTTTTAACTCTCCCCATAATTAGCAGATTTTGTGCAGCCCTTCTCCATGTTGAAATATATCAATTTTCCATTGCAACTATGCAGGTATGCCAAGGAAAAGGCTTTTATGAGTGGTGTAATGTTTGTGTTATTTAATAGCAAATGTTTCAAGCTTCATTCATGGTGCCTTATCCTTAAGTGGCTCCCAATGGAGTTTTGTATCTGTGTGCATGCATAGAAATTTGGATCTTGCAAGCTTCATGCACACTCTGTCCTCTCTCACTGTCTATGCTCAATAGCTTCACTTTTATTTACTGCAGAAACACTACTGAGAATAGTTCCTGTAGTTTCAAGAACCAGAATTTGAGTGGGTTGCACTGCTGCTTTTGTTTCAGATCATCTTTCTCTTTCACAGAAAATGTCCTTTTGGAGTTTTTCCTTTGCAAGTGTTTCAAGTAAATTTCTTTAGGTTGTTGGGGCAGTGAAAGAATTCTTGAATCCATTGCAAGGACACATGTGGACTTGGTTTAAAGAAAAAAATTCTTAATGGGACTTGCATGTAATAGTCTTTCATAGTTTTATTGTCCTGATTAAATAATTGTGAGAATTCTGTTGATGTGGCATTAGGAGGAGTTTGATTTTTAAATCATTTTGATAATTTTCACATTAAACAGTCAAATACTTCATGTTCACCTGAATTCCACAGATGATAAGCATACTGTAGATCAGTGTTTCTCAAGCTTGACAAAGATATGTGGACTTCAACTCAGAGAAGGCTGCTGGCTGACTGGGAATTGAAATCACACATCTTCAAATTGCCAAAATTGAGAAACACTGCTGCAAATCATTTTCCTACATTTAAAAAAAATATAAACTGTCCTTTTTTTAAATTGCTCTCTCTTAGTGGGATCTTTCAAGAACCATTGCCTCTCAGTTTTTTTTCCACTTGCAGGGCACAATAATTACTGTATCAATCAACAGAAGACATGGCTATACAACTTCCTCTCAAAGGTAGAAAGTCATTGCTCATTTGGGCAAATGCAAAATGCTCCCAGTACAGTATAATTATATAGCTCTGAATGGGAAGATCATTCCCTCTCCCTCTTCAATCTGTATCATTAATCAACCATCTTAGTTTCAACATGCAGATCAATCATGTTCCCTATAGTTGAGATGAGAATAGCCTGTGAAGATAGTATATATTGAAAGGCTGATTTTGGGAGAGAGAAAAGAACACTACTTTTATTCCCTAGTAGCTATGTTTGATAATGCTGCCTCTTTTAATATTTCACTACTTCATAAGACACTGTATCTGACCACAGGAAGTGGTGCTGTCTCTTATTAAAATTGTAGCTGCATTGACTGATGCAGAAGTGAGTCTGTGTCCATGATCTAATAAATTAATCAAATACAAATATTGTTTCTGCGATTTGTTCTCTGTTTAAGCACATGTCACTAATATCTAGCATTGAATATGTCAAGTATTTTTATTTATATCCCATTATATTGACCCAGCGTTATTTGAGATTTCACAAATCAGTCCACAAGAAATTCACACAACCTGCTTTTGGAGACTTTTGAGGAAACAAAGAAGAGCAAACTAATAATTCTTTGCATTGAGCAATTTCTAATATAACCTAGAGTACAATTTTTGCTATGATTTATTTTCATGTATTTTTCTGACTGAATTGTCAAATGCAGGTAGGCCATAGTACTCCCCTTTTCCTCCTGCCCCTTTTTTTGAAGAAAGTTTGCTGTAGGAAAGGAAGTGATAACTTCCTTTATTGTATAGATCAGCAGCTCTCAAACTTTTCTATACCCCGCACCCCTAAAATGCTTCTGATATATTCTCGCACCCCTTACAAAAGTTTGGAATAACGGCAATGAATTATGCATATACACTATAATTTTGAAAACCCAAGTTTTTGCACCCCCTGGAATATCGTCTTGCACCCCTGGTTGGGAACCCCTGGTATAGATAGACCTCAATTAACTACTGCCTCATTTTGTGACCATTCTAACTTATAATAGTGCTGAAAAAGTAGATTTACAACCAGTCCTCAAGCTTACAGCTATCACAGCATCCCATGGTCAGCTGATTGCCATTTGTAACATTTCCAGTCAGATTCCGCCCAGCAAAATCAATTGGGAAGTCAGTAGGAAGTTGAAAGTTGTGGACATGGGATACCATGCTTAATGATTGCAGGTGATTTGTTTTAACAATTAACAGTGAAACTGACATTCATAGGTGTGATTGTTTGATTCACTTAATGCTGCTTAATGATGAGATTATTGGTCTCAGTTAATGATTGTTACATGAGGACTACCTATACAATGAATTTCCCAATGAAACCCATATTTTTAAATTATTTTCAGGAGTGTTTTGACACATCTGGAAGAGAAGGAGTTGCAAACAAATCCTATTTGTTTCCTATCAAACTATGACAGGTATCATGATTAAAACATTTAGCACTTGCTACTCTAAAATTTGAATCTGATCTAATCTGAAAATAGATTTACATAACCTATGGAACTCATGTATAAAATTAGGCAATTGGTGAAAATAGTATATGCTGTTACATTTGAAAGATTATGTGGTACTAAAGGCTGAAATGTATACAGATATATTAGCCAAGAACTATCTATAGGCTGTAAAAAGTCGTGTCATCAATTTAGTTCTTCCCAGATGCTTTGGACTACAGCTGTCATAAATAATAAATTAGCCAGTTTGCTCACATATTGTATGGGAATTGTAGTTCTAAACGTCTGGAGAGCATTGTCTCTGCTCTGCTACAATTTCCATTTTTACTTCCAAGTGGAAACACTCGATAGTTTCCCCAGCCTTCCAGATCTTTGCACTGCAATTTACAGAATTCGCAACCCGCAAAAATTCACCTCCCGTGGCTTGTATGAGCATTCTCCTTCCCCTCTAGAAAAAAATTGCGCTGAGCGCGCTAGCTGCTTCCCTTTCATTTTGCAGCAAGGTTCGATGGGAAATGTAGTTCTGTTTGCTAAGTGGCAAGTTTTGCATTCAGTAAAAGGCAGCTCGCTTCTGCTATCTTATCCGGGAAGGAAGATCCTCCTAGATAAGTAGTGTAGTGCTGTACTGCACTATTTTTTTTTTAATGTGAAAGAAGAGGGGGGGTAGATAAATTGAGCGGCAGGAAGGGGAGAGTGGCGTAGAAGGGGCAGGGCCAATGGAAATATGCGTTCGGCGCGAAGAGTGGCGATTGGTTGGCAAGGAGCAGCACCGCTCGGAATAACCAATTGGCAGGACCGAACGGCTAGAGCGCGCGAGGAGAAATTCTGCCAGTGAATCGGGAAGAGGTGAGCGAACGACGAGCGTGATCCGGTGTCCTAACTCGACAAGCTCCCAAGAATTCGGTTTGTGGTGGGTACTGGATCTCGGGGCAGTCAGGAAAGGGAGGTATAGAGATTGAGGAGGGGAACTTTTTATATGCGGGAAAGAATCAGCTGTCCAGCGCAAGATTTAAAACCTGAATATGCTGCCAGCGAGCCCGCGCCCGATATATTGGACGGTAGTTCCCGTTTCATAGCATTTTTTTTTAAATACTGGGTTTGGGGATAATTCTGTCAGAAAAGATAGAAGGCGTGGTAGAACGGAGAGGGCATAATGGAGAAGGCCGCGCTAAGGAACACGCGCCATTGAAGCCGATACCTTTCTCAGTAAACGCCTGGCATGTCTGCGCTTCCTTTCCGTCTAAGTGGCAGCGATTTGGGGAGGGCGATCCAAAATAAAAAAAAATATATCGTGGGATAGGAAGAGGCTAGTTGCCCGTTCCCTCATGCAACTTCTTCCGTGAAAAAGTAAGCCTTACTTAGCTAGATGGCCTCAGGGCATGTTGTTGCAACATCCGAGGCAAAGACCATGTTGGCTATAGATAGAGGGGGGGGGGGTGATCCGGAGAATACGAATTTTTAAAACTGCCCAACAGCCAAAGCTCTGGATTTACAATAAAACACTAAAATAATAAAAACGTGAACAATAAAATTCAAAATATAGGCATAATACAGACCAAATAGTTGCAAGGGGGACCAAAATTAATTAGCGTGAGAAAATAAAAAGGCCTTCATCTGGTGCAAAAAATAATATCAGTGTGGATGTCAATTGAACTACTCTTGGAAGGAAATTCCATAAATGGATTGCTACCACAGAAAAAGCTGTGCCCCTTTAGAGGCCCATCTCATTTCCTTTGTGAAAAGGCTTCATTTAACGGTTTTAATGTCTGGGTAAAAATATATATTGGAGAATTGAGAGTTTTAAAAGTTTATTTTGAAAGTCCAAGTGTTAGCATCCAGAACTATTCTGAAACCAAACTGCTGCTTCAATGGTTTAAAGATCAGAATTAAAATGGGAGAAATTTTTCTTGCTATTTTTCATTTAACTCATGCTGTCTAGTAGCGGATATATTTGTATGAAACCATATTTGGAAGTATTTCAACACTAGAGCTTGAACAAGCAATGGGACATGTTATGCATCTTTGTGATTGATAGATTTAATAAGTTGGCATCAATCAAAATTTAAAGCTAGGATGAGTGCATGTTTTCTGATAATGTTTAGGATTTTATTACATTTAACATTACAAAGGAAGTAAAGAATAAGGAAAGGATAAGCAAACAAGGGATGAAGAAACAAACTTTGGGTGCAAAATAATTGTAATTAAACTTGAGAACCAAGATACGCTCAGAAGAGTGGGACAAAAATAAAGATCCCCAAAACTCATGCAAAATCACTGGTGATTCCTTGGATATATCAATGTACTTTTACTGGTAACAGTATGGAAATGGTTGATCGCTGTCTTCTAGGATTGTTTTTTAATTTCTCAGTCTACTCTTGAGGTTTCATTCTGGTCTCCCTTTCAAGTAGCCAGGTTTGACACTTGTTTGAATTAAGACAAGTTTAGTTTGAATACTTTTTTTTTTTCTATGTTTGGTTCTAGTATGTTCATCATGCCCGGTACCAGGTCACAGTCCCAGAGCCAGAAGACTATAGACTTTCCAAAGCGAAAATCAGTTAGGACACTTCAGAAATCATTGGAGAAAAAGAAGGGTTCCCATCTAGATTCAGCAACATTACCAGTCTCTTTGTCATATTCGCCAAAACAGGTCTTGCCTCTCAGTCCCCGCAAACGCATAGGTAAGTTGTCTTTTCTTATACTTCCCAAATATCCTAGCATAATGTTGAATCATTATCTTAAAAATCATTTTCTTTAAAATTAAAGTAATAGAAAGGGTTGACAAACTGCAGGTAGTCCTTGACTTACAACTATTCATTTAGTGACCGTTTAAAATTACAATGGCGCTGAAAAAAATGACTTATGACTGTTGCAGATGTCATGTGATTTACATTTGGATGCTTGACACTTGGTTCATATTTATGATGGTTGCAGTGTCCTGGGGTCATGTGATCCCCTTTTGCAACCTTCTGACAAGCAAACTCAATGGGAAACCAGATTCACTTAATAACTGTTATTAATTTAACAACTGCAGTGATTCACTTAACAAATGTGACAAGAAAAGTAATAAAATGGGGCGAAGCTCACTTAACACATTTCTTACTTAGCAACATAAATTTTGGGCTCAATTGTCGTAAGTTGAGGACCACATATAATTACTTATAAATGGAAAATTTCCAAAATATATGAACCCAAAATATTCAAAGTTGAATATTAAAAATACTATGATTTTGCCAAATTGAATGGTGAGATTAGACAAATTATGCACTGAATTAAACTTGCCTATTCAATTCTTTGGCATTCTAAGTCTATAAAGGCACAGGCTATGACACAGTTATTTTTGTGGGGAATGTTAGGTCTTGTACTGTGTATAGATTTAAGCACATATGAAATAAAAATGCTAAATATCCTCTGATTAATGTTTACAACTATTAAGATTTGTTAGATTTATGTTCCATTTTTCCTCCTGGAGCTTAAGAGTATATGCATAGTTCCCACCTCCATTTTCCCCCTACCATAATAATCCTGTTAGACAGAGAGGAGCATACTGGCCCAAAGATACTCAATGAATTTTTGTATTTGAGTATGAAGTTGAACCTGTATCTTGCATATCCTAGTCCTGTATCCTAATGATTATAACAGAATGGCTTGCTCTTCTAGCTAACTCTTTGTTACTCAACTAAAAATTAGGAAACTAATTTATGCAAAATGAATTAACAAATCTCTTGGACAATACTGGAGAAAATTAGTTCTAATGACATTTCTATAAATAGACTTAATTACAAAGAATTGAGTTTCAACTTTTAAAAATTACAAATCCAAGTGTTTTGAACTTTACTATTGCAAGAGATTACCAACTAATGAATTAATAAGAGCGAATCATTAAAAAGTTCACAACAAAAGGTTTCCTTGAAACTCCACCCATTACCTCTGAGATAGTATTTTTTTAAAAGGCTTGAGTGTCTCAAAATGAGACTTTGAATAAAAGGACAACATTTTAAAGAAGTCACTTTGTGTAGATGTCTGAATTTCACCTATTAATTTCTACACTAGATACCTCTTTGTTTCCTCTAGGTGATGACAATCTCTGCAATGTTGCCCACTTGTTACCTTGTACCCCAACTAAACAGAGTAAAAAAGAAAACAGCTTTCCAGCAACTTCCCCCAGGGTCCGGACTTTACTCTTCAGTGAACATTCAGTCTCCAGGACTCCCACCAAGTGCAGCAGTTTGGTTCAGTCTCCAGTACAAAGGAGCCAAGAAACACCTACTACTATGCAGTGTTACTCTCTTAAAAAACAGCGAGTACGAACTCAACTGTTTAAGCCAGAAGGTATGTAACAAGGATGGACAGCTAGGACCTATTGTTTCAATTTGTCTTTTCCAGTAACTTTAGTATCAAAAAAAATTCCTTCAGCTCTATATTATTTTATTTCTTTATTTAGTAATTCCATTTATATAGCTGCCTATCTCAAAAAGGTGACTTGAGATTGTTAACAATTTTAAAAAAAACCAGCAAAAACCAAGAATGGGCAATCACCCACTATGATAAAAGCAAAAGACAGCAAACATCAGTACAAATTCAGTGCAAATGTTTTACAAAAAATAAATACAATACTAATATTAGCATATAATTTCTGTTATTGTATAGAATGGGAAGGCTAAGCATGACTCTATCACAAAGTAAATGAAATTTGAAGGTGATTTTATTTAGGAGCTAATACAATACTGTGAAAAAGATTTGAATTTCTGTTAAAAACTATAGTTGAATGAATTTATTTGAATCTTCTGCTTTGTAGTTCAGATGTGATTGCTAGAAGACTTGAAATTAAGTCTGCTACTCTTGGTCACCAATAATGTGTTCCTAAGGGACATTCCATTAACATCTGCCAAAGCACTGGGTGCTTCCAAAATGATATTTCTAAATTTTGTTTGAATTATTAAGTATTCTTTTCCTTGGCTGGCTAAAAAATGAGTTCTTTTTGACCTGTAACCAATCCATCATCCTGCTTTTCCTTTGCCAATATTTTTCTGACTCCTTTGTGGACCTGAGCATTCTCAGAAAAAGAAAAAAGGTGGGATGAAAATCCTGCTTTCCAGCTATCTCACCAAAAATAAAAGGAAATAAAGGAACTACTGTGAAAATAGTAACAAAAAGAATACTTTTCCAAGCTGAAATAGGTAGACTACTTTGAAAGGTTGAAAACAACAGGAGAATAAAGTATAAAAGGAAGATTTTTTTAATGGGTGGCTTGAAGGGAACTGAGGAGCCAGCAAATTAAAACTAGGAAAAAAGGATATGCATATGGTGGACGAATTAGAAGTGGTTATGTATGTGCATGGATTGGTAAGTGTGAAACAGAAGAAATGGGTTATTAGAATGGGAGAAGTTGTTTTGAGGGGATTGAATTTTAGAGCTTTATATTAGTATTGATATTGGTATTATATATGGAAGAAAACAATTTACTATTAATCTTCCTATTTATGAAAAGTATCCCTAGAAAAAAAATGGAAAATTCTATTTGGAAAAGGACATTTTGATAAGGTAAAGAAGATTTAATGTATAAACATATTTTCTTTGTTATTTTCTAACACATTTTTTTAAAAAAATACATTACAATCTTATATATAAATAAAAATGTAAATGTTCGTTTGTTCAAAATCTTAAATCTCCGAAAGTTCTTCACCGATTGCTTTGAAATTTTGACACAACGTTGCATTCGAATACGCGCGTGTTTTTATATACCTACTATTATAGATGTCAAACCTGTGACAGGTAAAAACATGCTTTTTTGAAAACCAGCACCATCTGTTGGACGTAAAAGCAACACACGCTACGATTTATATCTATATCTGCACAGACAATGGAACAACAAAAAATATTGTATACCCACAAGCATTGTGAAATTAAACATATTACAAACGTGCGCTTTCTCTTTTCTTTTCCATTTAACCAGACTCTGAACCACAGCAACGCGTGGCCGGGTACAGCTAATGTTGTAATAATAATTTGTGTGATTTTTTTTTCCCCAGGTCATTATGGTAGCCATTTTATTTTGGTGTTTATAAAGAGTTCCCCAAAAGCATAAGGTATCCACAAGGCCTAAATTCACTTCACCAAAAGTTAGAATGAATTTGCTGGGCATGCAACCAATTACTCTTCCTCATTGACCATATTTATTTATGGAATCATATGTCACCGATTTTACAGCTGCAGACAGTGTTAGAAAGTCAAGATAATATATTAATAATATGAAAGATAAAATGCAATATTTATTTTGCTTAATCTGATAAGAATGTGTAATTGAACAATCTATTTCATCATTAACAAGAACTCAGTTAAAAGTATATACAACTAATTTAGTAGCAAAACTTTACCTATTATAATTTCTTTTTCTAGAAATCAGAATGCTGTCATCTACTGTGTCAAGACATGTTTTTGTTTTATGGTAGCTGTTTATTTTAATGCAGGCACCTGTTATCAGCAGGCAAAGAGTCTTCTTCATACAGCTGTTCCAGACCAATTGCTTGCAAGGGAAAAAGAATCAGGTGTCCTGCAACAATTCCTCTTGGAACATGTCTGCAGGAAGAGGCCTGGAAGTCTTTATATATCTGGAGCCCCTGGCACTGGGAAAACTGCTTGCCTCAACAGAGCCTTGCTGGATTTGAAGGTAACTGCTGGATTTGACCATGGGTATTAAATGTTCTTGAGATCTTTCTTTGAAACAGAGTGCTTGAACAATTATTGCCTGCTGTGTTGCTGGTAATGTTATTGTGATAGTCATTTGAGGCCTGGGGAAACTTGATGGGTGGCAGAGATGGGGGAGGGGGAGGGGCTGCAACATTCCTGCAGTTGGTTGTAACTACCTTTTGTGGGGATTTTTATAATTTTGAATGGTCGCTAAATCAAAGTTTACCTGTATGCTGTCAATTTTGAGTCCTAAACGACACAAAACATGATTGAATGCAATGTTTGTATTTGCGTAAATAAAAAATAGCAATTTACACTTATTTATCCCAAAGGTAAGACCGGCCTCTACTTTTCTGGCCTTTCAATATAGTGTTAAGACCTGGCTTTGCCAATTGACATGGAGATTGAAGAATGATATGATATGATATGGGTGGCTGGTAATGTGAGGATGTGCTGTCTGCCTTTTTTAACTTGTAATATCTTATTTTAACTTTGTTCTTAACTCAGTTTTAACTCTGCTGTATTTGTGCTTTTATACCTCTTTTTATGTTTTATTCTAAACTACTTAGTCACTTAGGTGTGGTATTCGATGGATGTGATAAATAGATAACAGAGAGAGAGAGATTGAGATTGGTCTTTGCTCAACAATTCAGATTAATAGTAGTGTGATCACAAGTAGTCCTTGACTTACAACCACTCTTGTAACGGTTTGAAATTACAATGGCACTGAAAAAAGTAACTTATGACTATTTTTCATGACCATTGCAGCATCCTCAAGGTCACATGATCAAAATTCAGACATTTAGCAATTGGCATGACAGTTGCAGTGTCCTGGGGTCATATGATCACCTTTTGTGCCCTTCTGACAAGCAAAGTCAATGAGAAAGCCAGATTCACTTAACAATCATGTTAGTAACTTAACTTCAGTGATTCATTTAACTATGGCAAGAAAAGTCGTAAAATAGGGCAAAATTCATTTTAAAAAGCTTGCTTAGCATCGGAAATTTTGTGCTCAATTGTGGTCATAAGTCAAAGACTAACTGTATGGGACTGCAACATGCATTCCATTCAAATTGGAGGATTGATGGCGAAGGTTAATACCCCTTGTTTTACTGTTAATAATAGGGAAACAATTATTTGTTCTTTGCCTCCCCTTCTAATGTCTAGGAGCTGAAAAAAAGGCTCCCTGGACTTTACCAGCCATGCAAAGAGCAAAAATCATGTGTAACTTGTTAGCCTTGATAGTGTAGTTGTATAGAAGCATAGGGCTGGAAGAGATCTTGGAGATCTTCCAGTCCAACCGCCTCCCAAGACAGGAATCCTTATACCATCCTGAACAAATGGTTGTCCAGTCTTTTCTTGAAAACTTCCAGCAATGGAGCACCCACAACTCTAGGAGGGAAGCTGTTCCATTGATTAATATTCTAAAATAATAAATTATATTCTAGAATAAACTCTATTCTAAATTCATTTTCTATTATATTTAATTATATATAGAATATTATATAATTGAATATATATAAATTATATAAATATAAATAAAATTAAATATTGTTATATTTAATTATATTACATAGAATATCAATATTTTAAATTCATTTTTTGTTTAAGCCTCTCAGATAAATTTTATTGATTTGATCATGAGCAGGAGGAATAAAATATACTGTACGTATTGCCTATTTAATGCAATTGAGTATTTTTATGGCTTTATTTATGGCTTGTCGCATGTTTCTTTCTCAAAGGAAGACTTTGTGAACAGGAGGCTTTTCCTAAAATATTTAGGATGTTGCAGTTTAAATAAAGAGAACAGTTGTGTGTTCTCTTTATTTCTCAATCAATTTCAACTTCTTGCGGGGGAAAAAAAGATATCACAAAGTTGGAATTGATTGATTGAAATTTTTAGTCCCACCCAGTTGCCGTTACCACCGCAGCTATGCCCACCCAATGGGCCACACCCACCCAATGGGCCACACCCACCCATCATCCGATGGGTTGCAATTTGGGCACTCGGTCTCTAAAAGGTTCGCCATCACTAGTCTAGGTAGTGATCAAACTTTTCCGCCTTCCTTACAGACAGAACTCACTGGGATTCAGATCACAGTCTTAAATTGCATGGCCTTAAGGAGCTCCCAAGCTGTCTTCCCAGCAATTGCTGAACAGTTGGGCCTGGCTGGAGCTGCCAAAGCAGCCAAAGGTGATGTCATCAGAAAGCTGGAGAAACGGTTGACATCAGAAAGTGCATCGATGGCGTGAGTATAAGATTTTTTATGGGAGAAGTTTTTTTTTTTTTAAATTATCAATTGGAAATAGGGATGGGATTAGTCATGAATTTATGCTGTGTATGGAAAAACAGCATATTTGGTTGTTTTGGGATTCTAATTTATATGAGAGCATCACAGAATCCCTGTTTGCTTCACAGAAAAAAGTAGCTTGCCAAACTCCAGTGAGCAAATGGCATTTTCTCACCAGAGATGGACTAGTCTGGCTAATAATAATTTGAATGAAATGTTCTGGGGTTAGAGCAGTGGTGGCGAACCTATGGCACGCATGCCAGAGGCGGCACTCAGAGCCCTCTCTGTGGGCACGCTCGCCGTGCCCCGGAGATGGCAACTGTCCCTCTTCAACCAGCCGCCCACTAACTCGCCAAGGTCCCACATGGCTGGATGCATCCCAGCACCCATGCGCTTGCTGGCTTCTGTGTGCAGGGGCCAATGGTATCAGGCAGCAGCCGCCTCGGCCCCTGCCTCACCTTGCCCTGTGACAATGGCACCCCCGCCCTGCCTTGTCTCACCCCACAGGACGAGCCTCCTGCCCACCGTCCCACCTGCCAGAGATCCCCTGGATCTCCCCCAACCCTGCCCGGCCCCCACAGGCGTCCCTCCTCACGAGCAACATTGAAGTGATCACGCCCACCTTGGTCACACCCACCCAATCTGCCATGACCGCCACAGCCACACCCACCTGGCACCCGGCAATAAATAAGTGGGTTTTGGGTTGCAGTTTGGGCACTCAGTCTCTAAAAGGTTCGCCATCACTGGGTTAGAGTAATCTTTATAGGAGAATTACATACCTTTCCTATTGTCTTCTCCCTATAATTCCTCCCTGTAAATATATTTAGTTATTTAAGTATGTTCAAGATTTAATAAACTGAACTAATTGGTCCATGGAAATTGGATTTTTTTCTCAGATTAAGCCATTTGACAGCATTATTATTGTAGTAATAACAATTGAACCCAGGGAAAGCATTGTAGAAATAAATGCTGAACAGTAGGATCTCTAATAATGGAGATATATATAATATAATTATTATAATTATCCTCACGTAGGCTGATTGGTACTTGGGAGAGTTGTTCAACTCACAGAGCCTAAGTATTTTGACCAGATGTTTTGAAGGTGTGCTATGAATTTATTCTCAGGACTATATCTAAGCCTCAATCATTCAGGGCTTGCCCTTGATTAGCATTAAATGAGTGGATGCAGCGCTTGATACATTGAAACTTTTATTTTTGCCTTTGTTTTAAATATATATATATATTGTTGTTTTAGTTAATTTTGAAAAATATACTGACCCAGATTTTTTAGAACCAGCTTTTAAAACAGTCTTGGAGAGACTGTTGGGAGAAATAATTGTTTCCTATATAATACAATCTTCAATTTATGAGTTTGAGAGAATAACTTCTCTGGAAATGAATTTATTAAAATGCTGGAGATGGTATAAAATAAAGAGATCAATTAAAATATGCTATAAGCTAAGAAACAAGCAAAAAATTACGCAATTAAATTTAGATTAAATAGCTAGGATTCTATAGCATTGAAAATCTAAGAACTGCCTTTATCATAATTCTGAAAAGGGTAACAGAAAATAAAATACTACCTTTTTAAAGAGAGACTTCCACAATATGGGTCATATTGCTGAAGAGGTCTTTTTTCACATAACCTATAACCATACATTTTTAGATGTGGGATAGAAATAAGATGCCTTTTTTAACCAGATTGTTGGTTTGTCTAGCACAACATGACAGATTTCTGCCCTACCTTTTAAAAAATGTGATGAACCTGAAAGTTTCTAAATGCGGTCACTATTCTTTAAACCAATTTTTTCTTCTACTTTACCCAGAGATGTCAAGGAGTAACATAAAAGCTTTTGATTGCACCTTTCCCCCCCCCCCCAATGAATAATGAAAATAACAAGCAGGTATATATGGAAGGAGGCAGTCCTTCAAGTATCTTGTCCTTTCATAGGGCAAAACTTGCATCTTGCATTTTACTCATAAAAACTTGAAGTCAGTGAATTTGCTCCAATAGTAGGTTGTTCGAGCTGTTAGAGCAAATTCATTGCTCCACTTTTTATACTATAAAAACATACTCCCCAAAGCAATCTAACTGCAATATTATATGTCAGTTACAGTTTTGAATACTTATGAAGGTCACAGTGTTAAGTGATGTAAATAAGAGGTAATTAAAACACAAATCACAGTTGAAAGCACAGATGGTGCAACAATTGAAAATGGGGCTGGGCAGAGGCATTCCTGACCATTGCTAACAGTCTGACCTTTCAGGATCAGTGCCAATTGCGAGAACACTATCTAATTATTTTCCTAGTACTTCAAGCTTATTGGAAAATCAAAGAGTGGAGTTCTGTTCCCAGAGGAGGATATTTGGGATTAGCCATGGCAGCTATCCAGCTCCACACCCACATATCAGTCAGGAGAACTGCCAGCACCAATAGCTAGAAAATTCTCCAGAGCATTCACAAATTCTTCCAAAGCCATTGATCTCCAAAGACAGACTAAATTAATGGTTCACCAGACCAGTGCAGAGGTTTTATGTTTCAATAAATGTAAGCACTATTAATAATGTTCATGTAAAATCGTTTTCACCACAGACTGTTAAGCAGGCTGAAACTAAACATTGAATCAGGTCTTGACTCTGAAAACACACTGTGTTGTATATGAACTAATTCAGACAAATTTTTGCTTGAAAACAATGAACTCTTGAATTATTTCAGATGGTATTACCTTGGTTTGAATTTTCCCAAAGCAAGGAAATTAGAGTGATGAGTTTTGAAGCAGCCTGTAACAATTCAGGCAAGAAGCTAGTGGATCAGAGGGTTCCCAATATTTAACCTGTTGGCCACACAGCATTCAATAGAAGACCTTTCCACTGAATCTTGTATTTTGTTATCCTCAAAAGCCTAGTGAATATAATTAGTCAAGCCAATTCCTTTGCCCTTATATAACCATATTTTATTCAAATGACAGTTCAGTTTCTTTATCCAGAATAAAATCTCAGAGTATAACTTATTTTTCTTAATTGATATTAAGCAGCAACATTTTATGATCTAGTGCAGGGGTGTCAAACTGCCGGCCTGTGGGCTGGACGCATCACAAGGAAACCGCGCCCACCCCGTTACTGGCAATGGGGGGAAAGTTCCGATACGTCGCGCAACATCACGTGACGTCGTGAGTTTGACATGTCTGATCTAGTGGATTTTCCTAGAATATTTATGAATCCATGGGCTTATATACTAAACTATGTGCTTTTTAAAACAAAAAACATTTTATTCAATTTTCTGGAAGTTGGGAACCTTGCAAGTACCTCAGTCCACTCATTATCTAAAGGTACTACCTGCAGCTAAAGGATATTTTGTTAAAATAATTTGAATGTTTTATTCTTTGTTTATTGTTACATTTGCATATTCTTTTCTCTGGGAAGGTAGTACTCAGTCTTGATGTTTTTCATCCTTGCAGTTTGGTTGTATTAGATGAGATGGATCAGTTGGATAGCAAGGGACAAGATGTTCTCTATACAATATTTGAGTGGCCTTCCCTTCCCAACTCTCGGCTCATTCTCATTGGTGAGTATTAGAGATGTTAAAGCTTTAGCTTGATAGTTTAAGAAGAAGAGTGTTACTATACTTTTTTTGGGGGGGGGGGGGAATGCCTAGCCAAGTGCTGGGTATTTTCCAAAGTCTAATTTTGCCCACTATTGATTTCAGTGCCTTTCTTCTGCTACTTGTCCATGTTGACTCTTGCTTAACTGTGCTGTTATAGTTCATGCCACCTTCCTTCTCAACTACTGGAAAGGAAAGAAAAAGATATACTTAAGTTAGAAGCAGAAAGAATAGAAGATTTTCAGAGAATGTGGATCTGTGATTATATTCTGTCTCTCCCTCTGTTAGAATTGTGCATTCCCACTGATCTGCTAAGTAGAAGAATCTTTAATTAATTGCTTATCTGAAAGATATATAGCATTCTAAGGGAAATAGGAACTAACTAGGCCAGTCCTCAATGCAGCATGTAGGACCATCTATCCAAGCCCTAAATTTAACAAACTTTTCATTGTGCAAAATAAAAAGCACAAAGTAGGGTGTTGAGAAAATAGGAAATACTTTCCTTCTGAACTTACTTGTGCATTTACTTAGAACCAATAAAGATGGCATTAGAGGTGAGTTGTACATAGCTCACAATAGCAGGTACCAGATAAGTACTGTAAAAGTATGGTTGCTCCAGTGTTTTAAAAGAAAGATTCTTTCAATTATTAAAGAAGCTATGGGTAGGATGGAATGTTTGTTTGTTGGATATAAACGAGATTTGTTTGTTTGTTTGGTAGGAATAGCTAATGCTTTGGATCTCACTGATCGCATCCTACCTCGCCTGCAGACCCGACCTATGTGCAGGCCACAGCTGCTAAACTTTCCCCCATACAGCAAAGATCAGCTGGCTTCTATTCTCCAGGAACGCTTGAAGAAGGTAATATCTCAGCGGCCTGGTTCAAAAATTACTGTCTTGGCCCTAAACATCTTATAGAAGGAATAAGCTGCATTTATCTTTGATGTCACTTGGAGAACTGTTATTTGAATTTCTCAGCATCCTTTGCTTTGCATTAGGACAGGGGTGTCAAACTGCCGACCCCTGGATCAGACGCGTCACACAGAAGCCGCGCCCACCCCATTGCCAGCAATGGCAAAACAATCCCAATACGTCACGCGACGTCATGTGACATCGCAGGTTTGACATATCTATATTAGGAGCTCCTTCAGTTTCTTTGCAGCAGAGAACACATTAGTTAATTTGTTGGGCTAATCCCTAATGGCAAAAAGTAAGGTAGGAAGTTAAATGATTAAGGATATTAATTTGAGCAGAATGAGAGGTTCTGAACTAAGTATAAGGATTGCTTCCTATACATGGCCAGATCACGTCTTTTTTCTCTCCAAAAATGTAGGACACCATTACTTTTATTAACTACCATGTTTTCTCTTCTTTATTCCTTTAGGTGTCAGGGGAGCAGGTGTTGGACAACGCTGCTATCCAGTTCTGTGCTAGAAAAGTCTCTGCCTTCTCTGGGGATGCCCGCAAAGCACTGGACATCTGCAGGTGACAAATATATAGTGAACTAAATTCCAAGCTAATTACTGGGTGTGGGACGTGATTTAAAGCTTTATTGTGGTGTTTGGTCCCCCTGCCTGAGAGGGGGGAGAGTCAGAACTCTCCTGTCTTTGTGCGATAGGGGAGGGTGGTGCCTCCTGGCTGTGCTAATGTCTGGAAATGTTTACAGCCCATTACCTATGAAGGGTGAGAGGAATTGGTCCTCCTGCAGCGATTATAGATTGGTTAATTACATTTAGATTGCAAAAGGCTCTCATTAACAGCTCTCAAGCAGACATCTTTATGGTGCTTGGAAATGTTATCTTTTCCCTCACAAGAGAGTTTATCAGAGTTGTCTTCCATCTTCCTTGATCTCGGTTAGACATTTGTTGGGTGTCCCTTTTTATGTTTGCTCAAACGCAGAGCAAATACACCTACTTTAATATGTATGCATTTACTTATTTATTTATGTCAGTCAGTTTAGAAGTCCTAATGATTCTGGGTGGCTTAGAGTTAAAAAAGTAAGAACGTTACAATTTAAAAAATCATAGGTGTCCTGAAGACAGGGGCTCAACCATCAACCTATCTCAAGGTCTAGGAGAAAAGCCAGGTCTTCAATAACTTTGATAATTGAATGTCGTTAGGGTAGGAGCAATGCAGATTTTGGGAATTTTACAGTATAGAAACTCAGTGGAGTTTTCACACAGCCACTTTGGGAGAATTCTAATCTAGATCTTTGCATTAGGGTTTAGATATTTACAGCATTTGAAAAGCACAGAAAGCATATTACAGTATATGTTAACCCAATAACCGAAAGCAAAAGTCACATGCAGCTTAATCCAGACTGTGAGAAAAGTACAGAAGCAAAGCATGTGTGCTAGGATGCCATTCTAAGAGGGCCAGGAGAACAGGCTGCAGATGACTGTCTTGAGTAAGCCAAGCTGCTGGAATGTTCTGCGGTTGTTCCCTTATCTTTATAGGGAAAATGGCCTCTTGAGACCTCTAACAGTAAGAGTCAAAATGTGAAGCCACATGATCCATATAATATATTTTGATTTGATTTCATTTAAGGAGTTCACAGAGACCTTGCTGAATTATACAGCTTGTGTCTTGATCCTGAAAAAAATTATTCAGATATGCTAATAAATATTATATGCAAATAAATATTACTACATGTTTCTGTTTTATATAGTTCACTATTGATCCTGCCCCCTTTTCTTTTGCTAGCCCCTGAGCTATGCAAATCCTTTCGAACTCCATTAGATATCTACCTTTATCATCTTTGAGGAGGTTCATTAAAAGTGATTTTAATATACAAGACCTTTATAATTTAGTTTCCTGATACATCGTTTTCATGCAGAAGATTCTTGTAGGAGTTTTTCCTTAACTGGATTATATTTTATTTCTCTTAGTTAAAAACTACAGCAGTAAACATAAAATAATTTACACTTAGGATCTAGAGGAGGCAATGATAACTTTAATACTAACGCAAAATCAGCATTAAAAGTTAATTGGTCCTAAAGCAGTCTTTAGAAGAAGCAGAAATACAATTAAAGTTTATGTTAAACCAATTCAGTGAAAGACAGTTGATGCTCATCTAGCTGACATTATGCATTTGAGTTAAGCAAATGCTTTCAGACCAATCTTGGTACCTTAAAGAATGCCATTCTAAAGCTTTACTTGTTCATTCTAGTTGAAGGAAAGATAGGCTGTTTGCTTAATTTGCTTTTGGGGGGGGTTATGTTTTGTTTTTGGGTTTTGTTCTGTTATCTGTATTTTGTTTGCTTTATTTAGCTGTATGATGCATTGTCAGAAAAAAAATACTTAATTTTATTAAACAAATTCACTAATGAAAATTTAAACATACCTGGTTCCATTTCAAAATAGTTCTTTGTTCCAGAATTGTCAACAAACGTTTGGATCTGAAACTTAAGCTTTGGTTTAGCTATGAATAAATGTCAGCTTATACACAGAATAAATCCTGATTCCATCTACCCATGTGGTGCCCAGATTAGACATAGGTTAGCACAGAGGGTCAAAATCTGCCTCTGGCACTGCTTCCAATATAACAAATAGAGCGTTCATCTCATTAACATGCAAGATAGTAATGAATTCCCATTAATGGGCCATGCATGCTATACTAGATCTTCTTTCATTATAGCATACTTACACAGTTTCTCCCTTGTGACTTGAGAGCTACTTTAGAGTACTGAGGTGAAAAGGCAAGATCAAGAACTGGTATAAGTAAGAGTAACATTCACTATGAGAAGGCTAGGCTGGTACAGGTTTCTTGTACCAATAATAAATGCCATAGCACTTTATTAGACTTTCAGCTGGTTGGTCAAGCCCAAAATCAATTCATGAATTAGCTAAAGTGGGTTGTGTCATGGCAATAATGGTTATATTTCTTCTGTTGCTTTTAATTTTGTTATTATTATTTTTAAATGGGAACTGTAATAGGAAAGAAGAGAGGAATTATGTAGAAATACATAGATACAGAAAGGGAGTAAGTGAGAAGAAATTCTTTAAAAATGAAGAATTGAATAGTTTGCTGTTAAACAGTCTCTTAATGGTTGAAGATTTTCTTCAAATCACAGGATTTTAGGCAACCCAATCAACCATTCTTGTTTAACTCATCTGCTCTTGAAGGAGGATCTCAATGTATATCACACTTGTCAAATGTTTGCCTAGCTTTTCACAACAAATCTAATTGGAAGCAGATTTTTATGCAGGTGTTGTTTTTTTTAAAGAATTCTGAATTTCATCTGGTGGGAGAACGGAATGAGAGCCAGGAGAGCTACAGCCAGTGAGCTTGCAGATCAGGGAGGCCCAGCATGTCCAGCAACCATTGAGGGGCCTACAGCAGCAGAGGGCATCACCACCCCCTGCAGTCCCCCTGCAGACTTGCTTTGCATTGTTGACAATGTTTTCACTTCCCAGAAAGCCTATAACGATCCTATTTCTTTCATCTTAAATATAACTTTCCAAAATGTAACTTTTCTGTGAAATATTTGCCCCTTAACCAAAGTAAAAATTTAAATCCTCACTACCTCATGTGCCGATCACACAATTTCTATTTCTTTGAATATTTCTAAAGTTGAAGTGAAAGCTGAATTTGGCAACATATTGACTGTTGTAACCCCAGTCTATCCCCACCCAAAATAAAATTAAGGACAATTTCTGAAAAATGTCAAGGGTAATACTGACAGGATAATCTCGTGTTAGGGATAATCACAAAAGTAGACAGTTCAATTTATTTAATAGATTTGTTTACTCAAAGAAGAGTAGCTAAAATGAAAAAGGTTGTCAGAGAGGGATCATTCTTTAACCTTAAATAATTATCTGTTAAAGCTGTTATTTCCCTGTAGTAAAAAATGATTGACTTCAGGCATCTGTGGGCAGTGTGGGTGGTTAGAAAATTAAGATGGTGACTGGGACCATCTTCATGCTCCATAAAAAGGGGTGGGGCTTTGATTGTGCAATTGCAGCCACCATCTTGACTTTTTAAATTTCCCTGTGGAACCTCCCTGTAATAAACTTTCCTTGTTCACAAGATGTTGCTGCCACATGAAACTAAATCCAGACAGAATATGGAGATGAGCATTGTTTGTACTGAAAATCAAAGACGCCTCTTATTGCATGCTTCATATAGATTTCTGTTGTTAAGGAAGTCAAGAGAATTGACATTAAAGAGTTCAAAAATGACACATAAATTGGAAAAGTATCTCTTTCTCTCCTCTTTACAGGGCAGTTTAAAAATATATAAAATAATACAATGTATTAAACACTAAGTAGGTGGGGCCTACTTAAATGTCTAAAAATATACTAAGTGTATCTTCTACAAAGTTCTGGTCAATGAATAGGGCAATAGCAAAGATGGGATATTATCTTGTGTCCTTGGACTTTTTGGTAGCATCTAGTTGACCAGTGGACTAGATGAATTACTCTATTGAATCAGAAGGCAACTTTGCAGACCTGTTTTGAGTGCTATCCTTGAAAAGTGGGCAAGCCCAATTTCCCATTGTTTTTATAAGGGCTAATGTTTTTGAAGCAGTTAATTGGTGTCTTATGCAAAGCATTTATTTTACCCCTAGAATCCCCCAAAGTGGGAAACAAAACCTGCTTAGCACTCCATTCTAAAATGTTTAATGTTGTAAGCTACCTAGAGTCACCTCAAGGTGAGATAGGCAGCAAATAAATGAATAAAATAATGTAAACATAAACTAGAAGCCTGAGGCATGCCATTACTGTTGCTTTACATGAAAGTCAGTCTTCTGTCCAAAATGATGCAGACATGGTAAGCTTCTAGAAGGTTCCTTTTAAAATCTTTACTTGGATCCCTTTGAGAGTCTATCTATGATTGCCTTATTCTGTTCTCTTCCTTTAATCTACTATTGGTGCAACTTTATTAAAAGTGGTGCACCAAAAAAAGGCACTTTGAAGAAGATATAACCATTTGAGAAAGCAATCAAGATTTATAAAGAAAGGAAAAAGAAAATCCCTAACGTTTATAGACACTGCATAGGCATCACAATACAATGACTTGGTGTATGAAATGTCATCAGCAGGAAGCTTTCCTGTTGTGAGCTTAGTTAATTCTGCTGTTGGACCTCCCGTGACTCCCTTTTTGTATTGCATTTGATAAGCTATTTGCACATTTGTGTAAAATCCCCATTTTTTTAGATAATAGGAATTGAGTTTACGCTTTCTCATTAAAATAAATAAATACTCCAGATAAGGGGGGATAGCTTCTTGTGCTAATTGGCTTTGGAGTTGGACGTTTTTTCTTCTGAGCTTGTTTAAATCCCAGTTAAGGCTGGATGGGTGTTAAAGTGATGGTAATGGATGCTATGATCTGATAGCAAGAACAAACAGCAGATATCTTCCCTGTATGCCCTACATTAAGTGGGCAGCTAAAGGAATGTAAGTAATACAATTGGTTGTAACTTGTCTGTTTTGCACTTAAGCTGAAACAGCTGGAAGTGATTTCTGAATCTTGGCAGAATGCCTTCATATGTGCTAGAATGGTGGTTTGGTCAACACATCAATTATGTGAGACAATCTGGAGTGGCACATTGCTGTATTGGGGATAAAGTTCTAATACCATGATCTAAAATACTATCTTCATCTTTAGGAGGGCCGTTGAAATTGTGGAGTCAGATGTGAAGACCCAAGCTATACTTAAACAAATGCCTGCCTGTAAGTAGATTTTTCTCATTCTCTACTTTATGCAGCTCATGTACTTCTATGCAATAGTACTAGGTTTCCTTAAGTGTTTTCCTGATCTAGTTTGGCACCATTTCTTCGAGAAAGAAAGTTTAAATCATGCTGGGGGAATGGAAATGATTGTAAAGTTGGCTGACACAAATGTATTTTCTCTTCCCCTATTACAAAAACGGCCCTGTTGAAGACACTGAACTTGTTCCCTCTCTTCTATATCTGATCCTAAATGTAAGGAACATTAGAAAAGCACATATGAAGTAGTACTACATGCATGCTTCTTCCAAACAGCTACATACAGGCTAAAAATTTGTATCTTAAGGTTTATGAACAGTGATAGTGGTGTATAGAGGTTTGTATTGACCCATCTTGAACTTTAAACCAATACTTTTAAAGTTTAGCAATGTTACAGTGTATGGATTTTAACTACCAGAATTTCCTAGCCAGCATGCAAAATCCACACATCTTAGTGTTGCTGAGGAATCCTGCCAAAACATTTGCTGTAACCATTTGGATATACAACTTGATTGAGCAGGAAAGGGATCTTGCAATTGGTGCAAATGGCAGTTTGATATATAGCTACTGTGGAAAAAGGCAAGTTCCATGTTAGGATTCATTAAGAAGATAATTGAAAGTAAAGTTGGTAATGCTTTAATATAGAACTCTACTGAGACTTTACTTGGAATAATGTGGTACCAGTTATCTCAACAAAACCTCAAAAAAGGCAAAGTTGGAACTAGAAAAGGGGACAATTGGAAATGTTTACCTGCTAGAGCTGCTCTCAGATTAAGAAAAACAGCATCATATGCTGTTTAGCTTAGAATGAAAGAGAATAAGGGGAGATCTGCTAGAGATATATAAAATCATTCATCATGACTGGCAATTGGCTTCCTTCCTCAAGCACAGCATTGGTATTTGGGGCTTTTCATGGATAACAAAAAGTGGAGACATTCAGGACCAATAATAATGCAGCCCTGAGTTAAATCATAAAAATCTCTGCCATTAGATGTGACATCTCTTTAGATACTTTAAAAAGATCAAATAGATTCAAGGATAATTGGACCCTTAATATTTTCCATTGATGCATGTTTATTTACTGACTCTTGAATTAAGATGCCATATCATCAATACTAACAGCTGGGAGTAATTGTGAACGTCTTGATTCCACCTGATTTAAGCAGAGTATGGCATAGACTACTGGATGAAGTATGTTTAACATGGTTCTTCATGGTTGATCAAAATCAAACACTGCATGTTTGACTAATGCATGATCTGAAACCACACGATGCAACAATGCTGGTAAAATTAAGCAGGTCTAGATCTTTAGTGAGACAGTGTCTGGGAATCCCAAATATGGCTTGCTGAATTTTTTCAAATGAGATAGAAAGTAATCAAAATGCATATATGTGTCATTTGTACATTTCAAGAATTACATGGGTTAAGTTGCAGTTTTTACATATGAATAATGGATTTTCCATCTTGTACTTTCTGACCAGCTGATTCCAGTCCTGTGTCCTCAATCAAATCTCATTCCAAACCAGCTGCAGACTCTGCAGTGCCCAAACAAGTGGGCCTGCGTCATGTCTCCCAAGTGATCTCTGATGTATATGGTGACCGGATGGCAACCGGTAACAGTTACGGTGATGCTTCTTCCTTCCCACTACAACAAAAGATTTTAGTCTGTTCTCTGTTGCTCTTAGCCAAGCAACAGAATATCAAAGAAATTAACCTAGGAAAGGTGAGTGTATTGATCCTTCATTGCTACTCTCCTATAGTACTTTTATTTAGTGCTGCTTCATTCTGCTTCACCCGGATCTCATGAGGAATGAATGTGAAATAATTTTAATATTGGTTAATGTAATATTTTTATGCAAAATTCGCATTCTGAAAGTTCTAGAATAAAGTGATACGCAAATTCGTGAAGCGTTCCATATTTTTTAATAAAAAAAGGAAGAAAAAAAAAAGATTGCTACTCTCTGCCTCTTCGTATCCTGTACCTTTAAAAAAAAAAAAAAAAGATATTGAGAATAAATAATAATTCTCTGTTTACTTAGGAAATAATGTCTCCAATCCTCCCTGGTCTGAATGAAAAATAATTGCATGAAATATAGGACTATGTGCAATACAAGTAGTCCTTGTCCTATGAACACAATTAGGACTAGAATTTATGTTGCTAAGCAGGGCAGTTGTTAAATGAATCAGGCCTGATTTTACAATCTTCTTTGCCATGATTGTTAAGCAAATCACTATAATCATTAAGTAAATCATGCAGTCATTAAGCAAATCCGTTTTCTCTCATTGATTTTGCTTGTTGGAGGCTGGCTGGGAAGGTTGCAAATCACAATCATGATCTCGGGGTGCTGCAACTGTTATAAACACATGCCAGTTGCCAAGCACCTGGATTTTGGTCACATGTCTTTGCAGATGCTGTAATAGTTCTAAGTGTGAGGATCAATTGTAAGTCATTGCCAATGTAACTTTGAACAAATGATTGTAAGTTAAGCACTACCTCTACAGTACATGAGTTATATATAAATTACCTACTATTCCCATTCTATTACCTTCTCATGGCATTTGAAAAGTGGAGGAGGGAATAGTTTGTTCTATGCAATAGTTCCGAATTTTTGTAGTAGAACAATATAGTTGCCTGAATTCCAAATTCCTCCAAAATTATAGGTGCTTCTATTCCATAGGAACAAATGCTGAAACTAGTTGGGGCAATTATTTGTTCACTGTTTCTAGTAAAATTATACTTAAGTGGGATTTAGCGTAAACTGAATTTTTTGCAATATATCTTATTAGGGATTTCTAAATCTCTTTCCATGGCCACTCTTTTCTTTAAAAAGTAAAAATATAGTAACTATACCAAATATAGAACTATGTTAGCAAGTGCTTTGGCTGGGCACTTTGGCTTATGATTATAAAGAACATATTTTAGTTAAAAGCTACAATAATGGAACAAAATGAAGCTAGGATGAGTGAGCTTTGTTGTATCTACTAATCTCTCTGTGTTATTGTATTGAATAATAATAACTGGAACTTATTAAACCTTCCCTATTTCTAGCTGCATGAAGCTTACAGCAGAATTTGTCAGAAACAGAAAGTAGGACCTGTTGGCCAATCGGAATGCCTCTCACTCTCAGCTCTTTTGGAATCAAGGGGCATTGTAGGACTCAAAAAGGCTAAAGAAGCACGGCTGTCTAAGGTATTTCTCCGTGTTGGCTGGGAGAGTAGTTTAATCACATGCTCTTCCTTGGCTGAAAGATCTAAGATTAATGTACAAATTTTCCATTCTCTATTGCTTTTTAGAGGAAACCCTTTGAGTGGTTGGCTTTTACTCTATTATAATAATGATGATAACAGGGAGCGATAAAAATTGGCCAGTGATTCTTGTCTTGGCTTTCCTAGGAAAATGTACTATCTAGAGTTCTTTAGTGCCTGAAAGATCTCTGCTGCACCTGGGAATTTTTTTTCTTTAGATGCAGCCATCTTAAATGTCTTTGCTATATGAACAGAATAGGTGTATCAGCCCTCCTTTCTTATGTTTCTGTGACACTTCCTCAGGGTACAACTTTTTTTTTGTTCATATCTGTTCTTTGCAGAACTGTAGAAACAATAAACAAAGAGGAAACAGAGTTCAATTACTTTCTCACCAGAGCAGTTGGAACTGCATGTGTAACATCAATCATTCTTGCCTATATTGGAAGAGCTGCCCGAAGTTCAGACATATCACAATGTATTTGATTGGTTGTCATAGTTGTGCTCTATCCTTCTTGAAATTTGCCTATTTTTCCAAAGCCTAGTACTTTCTGGAATGTAAATTAAATACTCTATAATGAGGAAGCTAAAGTGCAACATTGTGGTGATTAATTCATGCTAATGCTTGGAATTCTGCTATGGGAGATAATTCTGATTTGAAATGTTGTGGATTTTGAACCATAGAGAAGTTGCACAACTAAAAAAACTGGTTAATAATCTATCTTCCCCCACTTCTTGTTTCTGCTTGTATTCATCTAAATTTTTGCAATTAGAGAAAAGGGGAATGCAGATATTTGAGGCATTTGGGTAGAATCTTCTCTTCATTCTATCCCTCTTTTTTCAATGTTAACTCTATGGGAACTGGCAGTGGAAATTGTATGGCAGATTGATGATTCTTGTAACAATTATAATATTTCTGTTCTTGTAAAGTGGTTGGAAATCAGCATATGCTGGAAGTTGGATGCTTCAGTGACAACTTGATAGCAGAACTTTTTTCTTCTATATAGATTAAAGGGAAAGTTAGAAATTACCAATGCCTAAAGTTTAATCTTGATATTGTACACATGGGCAATCATGGATACTCAGCTATGTCCAAGTAACAGATTCATGTTTGTTTTTCTTCCACCAGGTCTTTCTGAAAATAGAAGAGAAGGATGTGGAACATGCTCTCAAAGATGGAATCTTGGTTGGAAGCATTTTGGCTGGGGGACTTTAAAACTGTTGCTTTGCTCACTTGTACAACCCTTTGCCTCATACATCTATTAACTTTAGGAACAGACTTCATCGAGACATACAAAGAGGTGCAATCTTCGGAATATTTGGACCATTGGCTTTATTATTTTTAAACAATGTCAGTATTAAAAAAAATTGCCCTGTTTTCAAGGATTTTAAAACTTTTTACCCTTTGACAATGCATCACTCTTCCTTCCCATTTGGAGATTTATTCTTGAATACCAGAAATATTTTCCCCTCTTTCCCAGCCGCAGTGCAATCAACCTTTTCTCTGCTGTCCCTTCCATCTACACATATGGAACTGCCAGTGTGATATTTGCCTCCGTGATTAACAGCAGAGATGAAAAGGAATGAAAGATGTCAGTAAGAGAGTCCATTTGCAGACACAGCCATTAATGTAGCAATAGAAAATAAGAATGCAGTAGCTTGAGTTCTTTTGAAGTTGGGCTGTTTCAATGAAGTAAATGTCATCCATACTGAGGCTTAGCCTCTTAAGAGTTGCAAAGGGGCTTAGCCATACACACAGAAACGCACACACCCCTGAGGGCTCTTGAACATCTTAACATTACTGAACTATGGCTACAATCCTAGCAGTAAAACTGGTTTTAGACCTGGAGCAAAGAATCAATTTTATTTCTGGGCCATTTCTTTTGAAAAGCTGAATTAATTAAATAGCTTAATGATCTTGTATTAATCTAATTTTTTTACTAAGCACAGTGTGGATTTCTGAATTGGAATCCATTTGTTTGCATGCATATATGTGAATGACCAGGATTGGTTTGTTTTAACTGAAAAGCCATTTATTTTTACATATCGTCTCCACTGATTAACTTAGAATTGTTCTGATTTATTGAAATATGTGTAACCAGATGTTTTTAACAGTTGCAATTATTTGCTATTACTTTAATTTATAGATTAAAATAGTCAATCTTGCAATTTTGAAGTTTAGGATATATACTTAGTTCAATCATTTACATTGTTTAGCTATTTTCATTAGAGTTGGAGATGTGTTATAGCTTTCTGGTTTGGTGGGGATGTATACATATCCCATTAATTGTGGGCTTGTCTTATGCTCAGTTTTAAATATACTTGGAATTTGTATATCTAATGCATACTAGCTTGTTCCAGATTATGCATACGTTAGCATCTTTCACTATTCTCTTGGACTTTGGAAGAGTACCTACTACATTGGGACATGCAATTCTGTAACTAATATAGTGGTTAAATTTTAGCCAAAATTGTAGTGTTATTAAAGAGCTGGGGGCTTTCAGTTTAATTTGTGTTCTCCCCTAAATTTTTATACTCCCTAATTTTCATAAAGCTGCTCAAGTGGCCACAGCAAGAGATGTATTACATGCATTTTTTGGCATTTACATTTTATAGCCTCCTTGTTCAGTTATGTTGGAATGGGATGACTTGATCCATCTGCATCCCTGATGGCTGACTCCTGTAAACCACAATGGCATCAGATGTTAAAAAATCCATGACAGTGTTAAGAGAAACCAGCTTAGCCCCATAAAACAAAGGGAGATTTTGTGGTTGTCTTTCCTGGCCACTAACTGTGAGTGGTTAACCATTGCAATATATCCAATAGAAAAATGCTGAAGCCTACTAACATAAAATAAAAGGTTAACTTATAAGATTCTCAAGTTCTAATTGACAAACTATTGTCTACAGGATTTGGAGAACCAAGATTAATCTTTGGACTTCTAAGGCTATCAAAGCACACTGCGTATATAAGCCAGCTTTCAAAGAGTTAATGGCCTAGAGCAGCCACAGCTAATAGAAAGCAGACTTTAGAAAGAATTGGGAGCAGATGGGCAGCTGGATTTTAAATCATATTTTTCTTCCTGCTAGGACCTTGAAAATGATACAGTACTCATTACAGCATGTGTGCCTATTTTCTTCATTCGTTGCATTCATGCGCATGCTAGTCTATACCTAAAAAAAAATACTTCCTACCTCCTTCCAGTAGGTATTCCAGTCTTATACACTGGTAGCATTATTTTGTGCATTGCGAAGGTTATTTATCCATTTGTGCATTTGTTTGGAGACAGCAGTTCTTAAATCATCCTTCTCATGTGGTCTGATTTTTAATATAAGAATCAGCTCTCAAGTTGATGTCTGTTTTAATTTGAGTTGTTGGGAGCTCTGCAACATGATTGCATTTAAAAATGAAAAACTCAAAGTGATTGGGAATTTGGTAACTGCTGAGAAAGAAAAAGACAAATGGACTTTGCTACTGATTGTTAATTTTAACCTTCTGGTGGAGGTGGCTGTTTCTGATGATTTAAAACAAAAGCTTTTTTGCTGAAATAAACACATTCTGTTAAAGCAGGGGTTCCCAACCAGGGGTGCGAGATGATATTCTAGGGGGTGCGAAAACTTGGGTTTTCAAAATTATAGTGTATATGCATAATTTGTTGCCATTATTTTGAACTTTTGTAAGGGGTGCGAGAATATATCAGAAGCATTCTAGGGGTGCAGGGTATAGAAAACGTTGGGAACCACTGTGCTAAAGAGTCGATCTGAACTAGTGGTTAAGACTTTGGCAGGTTGAGAGACTTGTTCCAAAAATTAGTAGAATATTGGTTTTGGAGAGCCTTGATATCTTGCAAGGCTTAAAAACCCATTTTTTTTCCATTAATACCCAACTCAAAAACACAGCCACACACCCCAAACATTGAATCCTGCATTGCATTTGTTCTGAAGGTCATAAAGGAGATATGAGATCCTATGTGGTCCTGAACTGCATATTTGCATACTTCAATTTGTTGTAAGCCTCTGTCTTTTAATTTGATTAGGCTAGCTGTCTCAAAACAGTGTACTGTAGAATACAGGCTTCTGAGTTTGCTGACATGTCATCAGCAAAAGTGGTAAATAAAGGGAAGCAAAAATGGGGCGGGGGAATCTGTTCAACTCATCTGAGTTTAGTTTCAGTCTGCTGGAATTTGGAAGGAGGCCGCAGACATGCATACTAGGCCCTACCGGGTACATTAAGGTTACACACTGATTCCCCACCATTACTGAAATTAAGGAATAAACAAAACAACGGATGAGTCCCCATTTCTTAAATAAGAAATCTCACAATTATTTTTAACTTATCTTCACCTTTAAGAAAAATACCCATTGGCTCTTCTTGGTTAAACTTCATTGTTCCTTAAGGTCTTCAGATTCACTGTGAGATCTGTACAACAGGCTACGTTTGGGTGCAAGACTTTCACATTTTCTCTTGGAAACTTTCCTGCTGTTGCATCTCTTGTGAGATGCAGAAGATTCTTTACCTATCAGAGAAACATATTTCCTGAAATACCAGTGGAAAATACTTGCTTGCCAGAGCCACTAATCTTTTCAGGAACATACGGTTCAAGCCATTCCTTCCATGGTGATTTGGTAAATATGGAAGATGTTGGTAAATTATTGTAACAATAATTCTTAACACTGCTTGCATAATGAGCAGCAAAATATTGGGATGGAACAATGATGTTTTAATTACATGGTTAGCTAAACCTGCTGAAATTCTTTGAGAAAATGGTATATGTTATAAAAGTGTATTCCATTAATTGTATGATATGATTTACAAATAAATTTTTATACAAGTGTTTTCCAAATCTGGGTCTTATCTCCTACTTTAGAATATATGTGAGGATAAAGGGAAAAGCTTCTGGCATGAACATTGCATCCCACAGAGAATATAGAATTTTCAAAACTACTTTGCTCACAGGCAAAGGAGTTGTTGAAGGAAGTCGTACATACTATAATTATGTAATGGGTAACGATTCTAGACCGTTTTTGCTTTAAATCCATCCTAAGGATCACCTTCGACATGGCTGAAATCCAAGAGGCCCTATGTTTACACTTCTATAATTTTTCTTTTCTGATGGAGGTAATATATAACACCTCAGTGTGACCTATAAAGTGTGATTAACCTGCAGGAGCATTTCAGTGATGGGCAAGAGCCTTTCCAAGCAAAAACGCGCGCCCTGCTTGCTTGGGAAATAGGTCGCAGAACGGTTTTCATTAGCTTTCCTTATTGATTTCCAACGCCAGTTTGTGGCAGCAAACTTTGTACTCTCCTCCCGCCGCATCCCTCTTTTCTCCCAAGTGACCTTTGCTATGGAAAGAAAGTTCCAAAACAAACCCAGAGCAGGGTCATTACCTGCTTTGAGGCCGCTGTGGAAAGGAAACCAAGACTGGGGTGGAAGGTATTAGGACCCAGGGGCAGCGGGATTGCGCTTGCCGCTTAGCAGACAGCCCATACCCTGAGCGAGACGGGGAATCCTGTTTTCCACCAAGAAGGGCTTCCCCGAGGATCTGAAGAGTCCCGGCAGCCCCAACCTTTACAAGGTAAGCAGCCTATCATCTCTCTCTTTCCCTCTCCTTACCGCAAACCATACTTAAATACAAGCATTTACACTGGGTAGAAAGAGAATGCCTTGTCGTTTTTCCTTTAATAAGACCCTCCCCCCCCAACCCGTCTGATTTTCGCTTCCTCTCTATTAAGGGATTTCCAACTAGCAAATGGTCCTGCCGACGTAAGCGTCGCTGCCCACCAGAAAGTTGTGCGTGGGAAGAGGATAGTTGGGTTTGGGGTTCCACGGCTTCTGTAACAGTCGTAAAATCTCCTCCCTTCAAGTCAGCTATAAGATTCTTAGCCCTCCCCATTTATCAGGGAATGTCAGCCCAGAAGTGGCTTGCAAAGTTGGGGCGGGCTTGTCATACCGTCGGATCAACTTTACTTGTATTCCTTCCCCCCCCCCTCTTCGATTTCTTCCAGTAGCTGAGGCGGAAGGCAAATAAATAAATAAATGCTGGGGATAGGTTAGCACGGCTGAACCTAATGGGTTCAGGCAGCAGAGGTCAGAGTTTAATCAAGAACAACTTGGGACCAGCAACTCTAAGCTGAATCTCAATACTGTAATGGGATAATTGTATAAATGTCTCTTCTATATTCTTTGAGGAACAGCAGGCTTCGTATTTGTT